GTGGAAAGGACCATATCGGGTGTTGCGGCCAGTTGGACCTCAAGTTTATGAGGTTCAGCATGATGTCTAGCAAGTTGATCCTTCAGAGATTGTGCATGTGCAGCGGTTGAAATGCTTCACACAAAGGGATCAGGAGCAGTTAATACCACCTACAGATCTGCTGATGCCTCCTCCTGATGTTCCTCCAGATCCCGGCCCATCTATAAGAGAACCCTGACAGTCTTCCATTATTCTGAGAGGAGGGGATGATGTGAGGGCCAAGTGTACGGCTATGATGCTGTATACTAATATTAGCGTAGTGGGATTTTGGTAGCCGTCGGATTAGTTTCAATTTGGACCACTCGCTCCTGTATATAAACTAGGGTTTTTGGGCTAATTGATATGCACATTTCTGTATTCCCTTTCCATATTCCAAGCACTCACAATGGTAGTTCCTTAAATGATTTAAATTTGTTATTGCAGTATCATCTTCGTTTAAGATGCATTTTAGCCATTTTTGGAGTTAATATTTTAGAAAAAATAAATGGACATTCCATTTTCTCCCAAATTTATTTCCAAGAGCATCTATTTTGTTTTGATCTTTACAATGCCCTGAAAGTGTTGTCAACAAGAAACTAGGAAAAAAAAAGACTTCTTACATCTGAATTCCCCATTGCAAGGCTTGCAGTAAGGCTCAGCAGAGAAGAGATCTGTGTCGATAGTGGCATGCTCCACCTCCTTGGGGCTCACTTCCAAAACAATATCGTAAGAAAATGAAAATTTGGTCTGGATACAAACCTTTGTCCTTGCAAAACTTGCTCGATAGGTGCTCCAGATGCTCCTCATCTGTCGATGCGTCTAGCATGGCAAGGCTTGGAAGTCCAGTTGGTGAGAGAAGCACCCGGTGAGCGAAATCAATCATGCAGTTCATTTGCGATCGCACACCATCCCAACCCAGCGTCGCAGCACACCCGCTCCTCTTGGCATTGGAGAGGCGGGTGATGTAGCAGAGTGCCAGCACCAGGAACAGCGTCTCGTCCCATTTGGCGATCATGGCATCTATGCATGCGCATTCGTGCACGTCCATCGCCGCTGCCTCCTCCTCATGCGGCCGTGCAGCTCTGGCGACGAACTTGGACATGGCCTCAGCATAACCAATATCGCTAATATCATCAAACCCTACCCCTGGTTTCAAGATCTCGGCGATAGATTAAGAAAACTACCTAGCGTCTACGAAAAGATGGAACGTCCTTTCTTTGGCAAAAATATATGTTACAGAACGATCATGGCATCACTCTCGAGAGCTTTCCCGAGCCAGGAACTCAAGCTCGCCTTCTTTTGCTTCCTGTGACCTCGGTAGTAAACACTTGCAGCAAGAGCTCGAAACTACTATCACCACCATCTCCATGAGGTCCATCACGACCACCGGATCGCCATCGCCAGTGCCCAGGTAGCCGATCACCTGGAGGACGTGGGGGTGTGGCGCGACGAGTGCCGCCATGCGCTTGAAGACTTTGATGGCCACCGCCTGTCCCAGCCACCATCTCCGGTAAGAATCCGACTAGCTTATGTAAATCAATGATTAATCTTCCATCTCCGCCACCACCACCACCACATAGAAGAGATAAAAGTAAACTTACGTCAGTAAAGCGTAGTAAGTTGCACTTTGATTCTTCAAGGACAAAACCAGTTTCAAGTAATTTCCAAACATTTATTATAAGGTTTCGAGTATCTGTACAAAACTCTTAACGTTTAATCCAGACTTCTCATTTTTAAAAAGCAATTAAAAATTTCGGTTGTTCTTATTACCATAGAAACATTTTAAATTTTAATTTTTCTTGTCTCTCACATGAATAAATTGGAAGATCAATCTTATTAGTCACATTGAGTGCCAATCTGCTCTTTTTGCCCTTCTCTCGACGTTTTTGATCATCAGTGGAATTGTACCACTAACATCCTCTTGGAATCACCTCCCTCCAATCTAACACATTTGTTTGTTATTGACAGGAAGAACTCAATCCAGGCCCCCCGTAAAAGAAAGTTCCACCCGAGGATCGGATACTGTAGCAGTCGGGCTTGGTGGACAGCGTAAAAATGCTGGCCGGGCCGCGCAGCAAGCTGGTGAGATCCACCACGCGAAGGTTTTTGAGATAACTGGCCACCGCGTAGCCTGACTGCGGGTAGTGACCGCTTCCCATCTGTGTTGCCGTGTGCCTGTTGTTTGGTCTCGTGTTCACCACTTCGCCACCCCACTCAATCACGTTTGCAAAGCCGGCCAAGTGAGTGAAGAGCTGCGGAGGCCAGTAGCCAATGAGCTCGTCCCCATAGCGAAGCCACCAATTGCCGGTTATGAAGTCCTGCGAAAACGAATAAAAAGTTTCCAGAGTTTTGTGAGACGTTTCTTGGGACGATGGAAGATCTCTTTCTCTAGAGCTTGAGATATGTTGAGAAGATTGAAGAGAAAAGTTTGGAGGCTTTTGTGTGTACCTTGAAGATGAGGATGCGGATGTCGTATTGGACGCCGTTAAGTGATGAAACGGGTGCGACTGCTCCGCCCAGCACGACTTGGTCGTTGATTTGCACGAAGCCTTCGCACAGAAGGTTGTAGCAGCCAGTGCCACGGTAAGAATCACTCTGAGATATTTGGAAAGGCCTGAGAAAGATGAACACAAAACAAGAAAACTTCTTACTGTCCAGTATGTGAAGAATCGGGGATTCCTGTCGCCGTAGAGAGCGGGGTTCACCTGGAAATTCTTGTGAGTTGTTTCTGCTTTTTTCTTGTGTTTTTTTAAATTTTTTTTTTCTGTCTGAATACCTGCCAGCCTGCTTCAACACTGTTGAGATCAACATTGAAAGTTCCGGAGAGAATCCAGACTTGCGAGAGGCTGAACTCATCTGCACCTTCTACTGACGGATCCCATACGTTGATCACGGCCTCGGCTCCGTAAAACACACCCTCCGCATACGCAATTGCGTGCTAAATCTCAAAAAAAAAAAAAAAAGTTAAAAAAAAGAAAAGGTGCAAGAAAGCTGCACAGAGACAAAGTTGCGAACATGAACTGTAAGGCAATGAAGATAAAACATGACAAAAGTGAACAGGAAAACAGCAGCACGAAAACAAAGATCGAAGAGAAGAATCCAAATGCATCAACTTGGAGGAACAATGAAGAAGAATAAAAAGAAAACCTTACCTCGTGTTGCCTGGAGCTAGAAGGTACCGCAGCTTGCAAGCTTTTGTGGCTGTCTACGTGTGGAGGGCCCTGGGATTTGCGAGCAAAGGAATCGATCGAGTGATTTTCGCGCTGCTGAGCGATTCTCTCCACGTCCAGCTCGAGCGTCCGGCGGACTGGAATGCTGCCTTTGGGACAACGCTGGCCGGCTTGGTGCCATCGCTGCTGGATCTTTCTGCCACTCTTGGAGGCCAGAAGAAACGAGGAATTCGATGGCGAGATCTGTAAAGTTGATAGCAAAAAATTCGCTCGATCAGTGACACCAATGCCTCGAGCAAACTGGTAGAACAAGAAGAAACACGTAACTATACGAATGCTCGAAGGAAAACACGCAAACGTGGGAACCAAGTTTACCACCGATCAAACAAGCAGGCATGAAAGTTAGAGGAGATTTCTAAGGAAGTGAGAATTTATATGAGAACCTGTAGCTTGGAGCCTTGCAGCAATGGATGATCGAATGCCGGCTGGTTGGCGATGGGAACGCAGTCGATAATATCTCCATCAGGACTCTTCACCCACGAATAATTTAAGGAAGAACATCAAGGAAGAAGATTCTTTAGTCGAGAACTTCCCAAATGAAGTGGAGAAAAGAAAATGCTTAGCGACCTGGATGCTGGCGATGCCTGGCTTGTTGATCTTTTCTAGAACGCGCTGGATTCTCAGGGATCGCTGGCGGCCGCTATCGTCATCGCCCAAAACAAGAGTCACACCCAAAACCAAATAGAAAACGAGAAAAACCGCTACCACCGCCCTGGCTCTATCAAAACAAGGAAACCCACAACATCGCATTGCAGCCCAAATTTCTCTCGAAGTCTTCCACTCGCTCCCTCTCCTCTTTCTTTTTTCCTTCACGCTAAAGCCCTTCAGGAAAAAATTGGAGGAGAGGAGAAAAGGAAGGAAAATTACTTTGAGAAGAGGAGAGAGTCCAAATCGAGTGAGCACACACACACATTGCTTGGTTTGAGGGACGCAAGGACTACCAAAAAAAAATGGAGCTCTACAAAGATTTTCACTAGCTTCTCTTTTCTTCCTAGTTTTTTTTAACTTTTTTACTGGGCCAATTGGCAGTGAATGATCGACCCGTTTTAATTTTTCTCCTCCTGCTTTCGCGATCAATCAGACTGACTTACAGAAATCGATTGATTTTTCGGGAAATATTTATCTTTTTTTTTGTCTTGCTTTTTTTTCTCAAGATTCGAGCTCCATTCTGGAGAGCATGACAATTACACCCCATCATCACGCATTCGCGATTCGTTCTCCATTTTCGACGGCCTGGATTGGATGACATCGCAGCCATTATCATTAAAGCGTGCGGTAGTTTGCATCCAAGCGCCATAAACGCCCCACGTTACAGTTCGCATCGACGGTGCACCAAAATCAAGTGACGTTTCTCTTTTTCTTTTTTCTCTTTATTTTTTATTTGTTCTCTACATATGCACAAGTTTCACCAAAGTTGCTGAATCTTCCCAATGTTGCATTGTTGCGAAATATTCTTTTGGATCCAAGTTATTTTGGATAGCCGAAAAGCTATCCCTTGGCGGCCTGAAAGAACAGAAGCCAAAGTCATCTCAGGGCATAACACAGTATACTTTAAATCTTCAAATCGGCAATAAGATCACCCGCAGGCTTTGCCAAAGGTGCCCGAAATGTTGAGGAACTTGAAATCACTGTTTCGCAACCCCGAAGGTAGAGGCTTTTCAGCATGGGAAACTTTTCCAGTGTTTGAGAAAGGAAGCTCCTCAAGGTGATTTCTCCCTACACACCATACCACGTCAACAAGAAACAACGATAGGATCATCTTTGGCAAAGTAGTAAACTAATTGCTGTTAATCTCTATATACATGAGATTCCTACCTAGCTAGACACAGCAGCCTCCTTTCTTCAAAAGAGTACTCCATCTCCTGCTGCGGTAGCCTGCTTGGAACAATGCCTGGAGCATTGTGTGGAAGAAGAACCGAGCCAATCTCGGGGACGAGCAGCGAGCCACCGCTTCTCAAGCTCCCTTGATCGGCCTGCTTAGAGGCGACTGGAGTGATCACCACCTCCTCTTGCGGCTCGCACTTCTTGTATAAAGTGGTGCTGCTGTTGCTCTTGTTGGTGTAGCTGGTGTTATTCGCGATGCCGGTGTTGCTGTGCTTGGCACCTAGAGATAGCGAGGTCGGCTTCACCGGACTGGCAAAGCAATCGGCAGAGTTGATGATTCTCGTGGAAGCCTGCTGCTGCTGGTAGACGAGTGGCGTCAATGGCTTCCGGTCGGGCTGGAAGCTCAGAGGATGGGCACCTGCAGGCGATAATCGGTGGTGACAGAAGCGATCTCACTGTCAGACCCACCTGCGTTGTTATCCTCGAGCTTTGGAGCTGGTGTTGTTGCGAGGCGTCCGTTCCTGCCTCCTCCCCCTCCTCCTCCCATGGACAGACGACGGTTGGCCGGCGTAGTGCCGCCGGCGGCGCCGTTCGTCGTCCTTGCGCCTAGACCCGCGGTCTTCTTGATGCTGTTGGGCTTGATCGGACTCGGACGCGATCCGAAGAGAACTTCTTGCTCGGTGATTAGTTGCTCCTGGATGCGCTTGTGATCCTGCCAGCCAGAAAACGATTGTTTCGCATGGCTGTAGCTATAGGAAAGCAAATGCTTACCCGCATCCGTCGCTTCTCTTCTTCCTTTTCACGTCGCAAGTGGTTGTACTCTTCGAGCATTGCGAGTAAGCTCACCTGGCAAATCAGCGTAAGGATAAACAACATGGAGCATGAGAATTGCATACCCCGTCGTAGAAGAATGGAGCACCTCTTTCTTCTTCCCACGACCTCGCTTTGGCCTTTAGCGACTCGATAAGAGCTGCATGGAAGTGTTAATTGCATACATGGACTTTCAATAAACAAAAGTATACCCGGTAGCTTGTTGACTGTGGCACGAGCACGTTCAGCACGTTTCAGGTTCAAGTGTGCGCCTCTGCTGGCAGAATACCTGTTCTCGTCTTTGCTGTAGTCTTCTAGCCAGCTTTCTTCTTCGCATGCTGCTATCCAGCGCTCGATCTTATCCATAATCTCTTTTCTGTAGAATGCTTCCTCCTTCGCCTTGCCAATCTGGTCTTCCATGTTTGAGAGAAGGTCCGCAGCATCAATCATACCTTCAAGATACGTTATTTAGATCGTGTAAGAAAGAAGCCGGTGATCGCCGTTACCTGAATCAATGAGAGCGCTGATCTTCTCTTCCGACACATTCTCGTCACATTCCATGTGAGCGCGACGGCAGATATCTTCGAGCTCTGATCGCTTCTTCAGCACAAGCTCCTTCATCTTGCTAATCTTGAGATGGCTCAGCCTTTGAACTTCCAAATCCGCCTGCCAGAAGAATGAAACAGTTAAGATACTCTATGGAAAACCGTCTTATAGCTTTGAACCTGTTCCATGACGTCCAAAGAAAGCGCTCCAGGAGTTGTCACTTCGTCATCTCTAGCAGCAAGATGGCAGGTAATATGCTGAAAACAGTTCTGCTCCTCGGACGGAGTATCCATGAGGCTCCACAACTCAATCAAAGCCTCTCCCAATTCTTGCAGCTGCATAAACAATTGTTTTGGTTGAATCGAAAAAGAAGAAAAGAGATCACCTTTATCATGCGCTCCTTCTTTTCTTGCTGCAATCGTTGCGCCGTGTTTTGAAGTTTTGCTAACGTCTCATTACTTATACTTCTTGTGTGAGTGCTCTCTAGACTCTCCAGGCTGGGATGTACTTCACCCACTGTCTTCAAGAAGTCGATAGCCAAAACGCTACATAAGTCATGAATGAGATTCACATACTCCATGACTTTGTTCATTCGATCACACTAGACATAAAGACATATAGTTAGAGCATTCAATGTTCCATCCAGTATAGAAAAAGCTCTCTCACCTTTTCTTTTTGCAACGCCTGCAGCTGAAGCTGGTACTCTTCAAGCTTCCTCAACGTTAAATCTTCCTCAACCGGCGTATCGTTGATCGGAGCTCCCGCAATGTCTCCACGAATTTTCTGGATCTGGAACCTCACATCGGCAATTTGTCTACTGCGCTCCTCCTTCTTCTGTTTCATCTCTTCGACGATGGGATAAACTGCTGCAAACTGCTCCTTTAGCGTGCCCAAACGATTCTCGATCTACACAACCAACCACAAAAGTTTAAAGAGAGAACATGAAAAAGATCCAAGAGCCAAGAAACTCACAATGATAGGTCTTTCTCCAAGTGTAGACACAAGCGCAGCTAGCTCTGCCTCGGCATCAGCAAGAGCCCGGTGTAGCCTAGCTCGCCCATGGTTTGCTTGATCCACCTTTCGCCGATAAACCTCCAAACACTCCTGTTCTAACTGGAGTAACATACGATCTCTTTCTTCATCGCTCTCCCCGACCTCGTCCCAGATGTGCTGCGCAGTGCCATTTTCAGTGTCCACTCGTGCAATGTAGGATCTAAGCAGCTCTTACCTGGAGCTCCCGCAGCAAAGATCCACAAGTCGTCTCACTGGCGGCGTCCATGCCTAGAAATCCCAACCAGCTCTCGAAATAAAGATCCAGGGCCAAGAAAGAAGGCGCCGCTTACCTCCAGCACTGTCGATCGTGACGAAAATGCTCCCGATTCACGGAATTTCCACGCGCCGCCTGCCCGATAACGCAAGACACGCTCCTCGATCGATCAAACCCTAGCGAAAGTAGAGCCTTGAAAGAAGTGCCTTGGAGAAAGAGAGAGGGGGGAATAAGGAAAGCCCCCGCAGGGAAGACGTGCGCTCATTCAGCCGGCAGTCGTACGGCCCCTGGCGCAAAGTGGCCACATTCTATCCGTACACGAATTTGCTCACGGACGGCGGGCGCCAAAGGAGCCGTTGGGCCTTTTTTTTTAAAACATCACCTAAACGCATCTCTCTAGCATATACCGATTTGCCCTAGATTCGAGTTTTCGTTGCGAATGTTCTCGATCATTTAAAAAGTCTCGCTCTGGAAGAACACACAGCATAAAACCAGGCAAAAAAGAGGGTGTTGAGAGGGCGATTTAGTTCATCCTGCGGATCAAAGCGTTAACTTTGACCTCCCTGTTTCCAGCGTCTCCTCCCTCGATGTAGTGATTCCTCTTCTTCTTCAATCCGCCGAGAGGAGCGCTGAGCTTGAAAGGCCACAAGAAGTTATTCGCCTCCTTGAAGTGTGGCCCAACCGTGTAGATCTCGTGGATGAGATCCTCGATACAGATGATTCCATACTTCCCCAGGCTCTGAGAAAGAACAAATAAGAAACGATGAGAACTAGAAGTCATCGTAGAAAAGGATCGTACCTCTTCGATGATCGAGTTATCGGTGAGAGCGATGCGCTTCTTGTTGACTTTCCCGTAGCCACGCTTGTAGATGAGCTCTCTCACGCTCTTGAGATTCGGATACCTGGAGAGTTTTGCTTAGAAATCGTGATGGTGATCTTGGAAAACAAAGAAACTTACCCGTAAGTCACGTACGGCTCGACTCTCTTGAGCATGTTCATGGTTGCCTTGTTCACCTTCATGAACACCCCATTGAAGATCTATAAAAGAAAGAATGTGATAGTAAGAGAACTCGTATCACAATCGCAACTTTCACAAGGAATTTACCTGACGCAGGCGAAGAAGCTGCAAGATCTTCCGGGTCTTGGGATGCATGTCGTTGATACTGGATGAAAACAAAATTTATACTCCGTTTGTACGGACTTAAAATCGAGAAGGAAAATTCACCCACCCTCTTATCCGGATGACGAACATGAGCTTGGCTTCCGGCTCGACGTAAAAGCCTCCTTTGCGCTTGGCCTCCCTCTTGAGCCGAATCAGATCCTGCTCCTGGAGATCCCAATGCAAGGGGTGAGAAAATGCCACGGGAATCGAGCGATAGAACCCCCATACCTGATCGCGGTACTCCTTGACATACTGCTCGGCGCGCTTGAAAATGAGCCGGCGATTGCTCTTGTTCTTCTTCTGGGCGAGGGCGAGGCGCTCCTTTCTCTCCACGCTCCACTGCTCGTCGCGCCTGCGCTTCTTGAGCACTGATTCGGGCACCACGGCCGCCGGGGGAGCGTCCACCTGCATCTCTTCCGTCGCCATTGCTCAAGAACTCGGCGGCCCCCTTCCTAAAGCCCTAACCCTAATCCCCGCCGATAGGGTTTTAGGGGTGTCTTGATCGGACGGCTCGCGCGCTTTTGGGAATATACCCCGCATTTTAAAGCAGTTGTTGCATTCAGCAGAAAGAGTTTTAGGGCTAGGGTTTTTGGATGCCCCCGCGCGGCGAATGGGCGGGGCGATTGATCGATCGCGTGTATGAGCTTCACGATGGAGTGTTGTGCTCGAAACATGTGAGTTTGGTAGCAGTGCGGGTACTTCGATCGATTTAGGAGGCGGCATTGAGAGATCCCAGGCGAGGGCTTTAGCATTGTGGATTCCAGAGCTTGGATTGGATCGCGTAGGGTAGGGTTTTAGGGGTTTAGTTCTCGTCTAGGAGGAGCGCCTTACATTTTCTCCAGTCTTTGTCCATCTCTTCCATCGGCAGCCATGGCGACGAAGAGCAAACAAAGCTTTGTGAAGCTCAAGAAGATCAAGGCTCGCATGGCCGATTGCCGGAAGTCACAGAAGCTTGTACTCAGGTAAACCAATATCTCGAAATGCTCGGTTTTTTTCTCACTATGTTTTGGTCTTCACAGCGGCTTGGAGCTTGAAGAGCTGCCACAAGGATTAGTAAACATGATAAAAGGAGCTGGTGCTAATGTTGTGATCGAGTTCGACTTTCACAAGTAGGCTGTTGATCTATAGCTGCATAAGATTCTTTACTGATTAATCTGTTTGTTTTTTCATTGGATTTTCCTGCTCAGCAACCAATTGACGGATGTGATACCGGAGATTTCTGAGTTCCGTGGCCTACGAGCTCTAAGACTATATCAAAACAATCTTCATCAGCTACCTCAAGTCGTGTTTTCCTTTCATAAGCTTCAGGTAAGTCTTCCGCGCATTTAGCTCCAATTAATTTTCGTGGTTTCGCAGGTCCTTGATGTCTCTGAGAATGAAATAAGGGAGATGGATCATTTGGTCGGTTCATTGATTGCACTTCGCGAGCTCAACTTTGCTCGCAACTATCTGACGTCGCTGCCGACATTTTGGAAAAACTTAGGATTCTTGCTTTATTTGAATGTTGGTAAGTTCTCTTAGTACTTTGTATATTTTTCAAAAGCCTTGAAGGTTTTCTTTTTTACTGGTAGCAAATAATCAGCTTACCGAGCTACCAGAATCGCTTGGAACGCTTAGACACCTACAACGTTTGGATGTCAGCTCAAACATGCTCTCCACTTTACCTCTGGCTTTGCAAAATCTCAAGGAGCTGATACTTCTGGACGTCCATAACAACCGCCTCGTACATATTCCACCATCACTCAGCCTTCTAAAGAACCTACAAGAGTTCAACTGCGAAGCAAATCCTCTTGCAGAGCCTGCCAACAAAGTTTACTCTCGGGTATGCCTAGATACCGAATTTTGATCTTCTTAGATTTTGAAACCTCGACCGTCATGACAGGGTTTTGAAGAGTTTATGGAGTTTTTGCGGGAGTCATTTTCGCAGCAGCAACTAGAAGAGCTCATTCGTCAAAAGCCTCAGCCTACAATTGTTGGTAAGAGAATGTTATGTAGAGACCTGTGATTCATCCGACATTATTGGTTTCCAGGCTCTTACTTGCAGTTTCCTACGCGATTTGAGTCTGCACCAGGAGGTCCTCCAATGAGAAGTCACCACAGTATGACGGAAGCTGGACCTATACTGTATATGTTTGGGGGAAACATTCCCAATTACGGAAAGGTATCAGTAACTTCCCTGGTTTTTTTAGCTCATGGATTGTATCAGGTTGATGATCTCTACACGTTTGACTTGCGGACATTGTTGTGGGCTAAACCTGGGACAAGTGGAAATGCTCCTGCGCCTCGTGATGGTCACGCAGCGGCCTATGATGGCCATAAGCGGTATGCTGTCACCTCAATGCACTTTCTGTTTGGCTACAGTTTATCGTTTGTCGCAGGTTGTATATTTTTGGTGGTCGAAACGAAGAAAATAAGCTTTTGAATGACCTGCACTATCTTGATGTCAAGAGTATGTCTTGGTATCAGGTATTTGACTTTTTTGTTTTTGTGTTGCTAATGCTGAAACTTTTATTTTGCAGCCTCTTGTAGAAGGGACTGTACCTTCAATTCGTGAAGGTGCATCGCTCTCAGTTGCTGCTAACCAGGTGATATTATTTGGAGGCCGTGGAACTCGCCAACGGCATAACGATCTGTACACACTCTGCACTCAGGTACTAGCATTTTAAAGTATCTCAAGTATTTTTTATTCAAAGTGTCTCGCATTCATATAAATATTTGTTTCAGTAAACTTAATTTTCAGACATGGTCTTGGATACCGCAACGCACGAAAGGATCTGTGCCTGCACCCAGAGAGCACGCTGCTGTTGCGGCTATAGGAGCTAATATATACGTACATGGGGGAAAAGGCAACGTTATGCAAGATGACATTTATGTTCTGGACGTCAATAGTCTTGTTTGGACAAAGGTTTGGGTTTTACTGCTACATGGAAAACTTATTGTTTTCTGAGTTTTTGAGCAGTTAGTAAACGAAGGTCTATGCCCATCTCCAAGATATGACCATGTCGCTACCATATTCGACAACAGGTTGTGTGTTGAACGGCTAAAACTGATTGATGGTGTTTGTATGATTCAGGCTTTATATTGCTGGAGGGATTGATGGCAATGGAACGGCGTTGACTTCAGCGTTTGTTCTTCCTCTCGGGGACGAAGTATTGCGCCAGCCTACATCAAAGTAATGCTTTCTAAACCAGAACTAGAAGTAAATTTTACTATTGACAATCAGTGTTTGTTTTGCTGCAGTCCAGCTGTGACTGTTTCAGCAGAAGTTAAGCGAAGTGCACACGAAGGTAGTCTACCACTTTAAACGTTCTGATGATAACAGGCTGTTCACTTTGCCTTTTCAGGTTCTTGGATAGAACTCGAAAGCCATATTACTTCCGCATTACAGTGCACGTAAGTGATTATTTTAGACTGGACAGCAGTTAACAACGTTATAGAACGTTTCAGGATTTGTTTCCACGCCAGCAAACTTATCATCTTCAAGGTGGAAACTTTGGACGAAATCGAATCAGATACTAGTACTGAAACGTGGGATATGTACATGGAGACAATGCTGGAGTCTTTGAAACCCCTGGTGAAATTTTGATTTATACCACTTCTGTTTCAAGACACAAGTACTTTCATGACAGATGGTAGAAACTACGATGAAGAGGTCTCTGGATACTAAAACAGATCGTGTTCTTCATATTATACATACCAAAGTAAGGCTTGACTTATCTTCTTTTTTTTCCAGGCTAAACAGCTTTGGTTTCCCAGATAAACCAGATGCCAAGATCTTACCAGGTTTTATCCCAGAAAGAGCAACTTCTTTTGAAGCACGTTAAACATCTTCAGAAGCGAGTAAGTCTTTTTTCGTTTCTTTCCTGAAACGCGTGCGGGAAATTTGCTTATAGTTCCAACAAGTATACCCGGAGAGAAGACCCTTGCTTCTCATAGCGAAAAATGAATGTGGCGTGGAAAAGTTCATTTGCTCGACAATACGGCCATCACACATGGAGTATACGGAGTTATACCAGTGGCAAGGATGCGCCAGCTTTATATCCAACTTCCTAGCGTTTGATACCCTTGAAGATCCAAAGTACTTTCCATCTTACATACCGTCTTCACAGAGTGTTATTGAGGTATTCATAGAGTTGATTTACATGCAAACTTATTTTACTTGTTCCACCAGTGGCAAAGAGGCGATTGTTTTGATTTTTCAATAGCACTGGCGTCGCTTCTTATTGGTGCCCGCTATGATGCATATTGTGTAGCGGGATACGCACCTTTGTTTCTAACTTCCAATAATCAGGTATATTTGCCAGCTTGTTCTTGTGTGATTTGCTTGTTGGTTAAGTCGTTTTCTATCAGAAACACTGCGAGTGTCCCAAAGCTGTCGAAGAGCGAGAGCTTGCTTCCCGGCGGCCTCCTGAAAAGCCACCACGAACAACAAAATACTCGAGACCGTCGCCACCTATATTGAATGATCAATTTCTTTCAAATGAGAAAGACATCAGAGATGCTGCAGCAAAAGGCTTTGCTGAGATTTTCAAGGGAAGCGTTGATGCCAAATTGAAATACGGGCAAAACGAAGAGGAGGACACACTTCTTAGGTACTGCGTTGAAAGATGCAACGTCCCGGACTTGGAAGAGGTTGAGCCGCCGGAGCCTCCCGAGCCTGCAGAAGCTCCGTCAACTTCATCATCTCCTGATCCATATAAAACAGCAGCTGAAGCAGGCACTACAAGCACGACACAAGAAGAAAAGTCCGATGCAAAACAGGAAGGAAAGTCAGATGAGGCGAAGCCAGAGCCAGAAATGAAACCGGACGATCCGAAGCCGGAGGGAGCAGAAGAAACACCAGAGGCAACCGAGTGTGGTGGCGTACAAAAGCAAATACAGGATTCCATGGTGGTTGAGGCCGTGAGTGCTCCAGAGCCGCCGGTTGAACCAGAGGTTGACAAGCTGGACAGGAAACGAGTACATTGCTGGGTGATGATTGTGAGTGGAAAACGAGGTCTGACCGAAAGTTTCTTCGTCGAGCCTAGTACTGGTCGGAAGTATCATCTAACGGACTCTCCGTATTATGCTGTTGAGTACGTCTGGAACCAGAGCAACGTCTGGATCAACATGCAGCCGAATCCAACTCGGGCAGGGATCAATAATCTTTCCTGGAATTTGAAGGATACCGTGAAGTGGGAAAGAATCTTTGATGGCCTTGACACTGAAGGCCGTTTCCGAGACAACTTGACCATTGTTGATGGCAAGAAGGAAGAAGATACGTCGTCCAAGCCGACTCCTTCTTCAACACCTGCTGGCTCAAGGCCAGATCCAACTCGCGCTTCATCTCCAGAGGCTGCTACTGGAACGATTTCAGCAACTTCTGGTGCCACGAAGGAAACGATATCCAAAATCAGCTCTGATAAGAAGACTGTGGTCGACGAGGGGGAAAAGATTGGCGAGACTGATATACATCACTGGCTTTTGCCACCTTCATGGGTACCTAAGCTTGAGATTTCCATGGAGGCTTTTGTCACAAGGTACATGGTACGATTTTTTTCAAGGAAACGTGTTCTAACATTCTCTAATATCCTGCAGGTGTCCGAAAGGAATGAAGAAGACACACTACGACAAGTGTACTCATGAGATGTATGCATTTTATGGAGATTATGTTCGCTGGGATGGATTGATCGAACGCCTGCACTTCTACGCTGACAACGACAGGAGAATCCTTCTGGAATGCCACGATTACTTTCAAAGACGCAAAGATGGCCTTAAAAGGAGAATTTTTCTGCTGCAGGAGAACAAGGTTTGGTTTTCTTGCCTTACCAGTTTATTGATAACATTTTCCGTTTCTGTAGGTGCATGAATTTTTTAATCAGGGGACATCGTTCGGACTGAAAGAAATTGAGATAGTAGAGGGGGTGAGCAGAAAATTTATGTTCCATTCTGGCGCTCGAACTGATGGATTGGTTTGCCGCGAAGAGGTGAGCAACCGAGTCTCTCCCTAACGTTTATTAATTTCCTTAAGAGGGTCTTCTAGTGCAGCTGCTAGGCAAGAAGCTTGTTGAAACGTTTGATAACTCGGAAAGCTCAATGGTGTACCGATGTGCATGTTATGGTGTGCCGGCTCCAGTAACTTTGCCTCAAGGCAGTCCTATTTTTCGAAGTGAACCAGATTCAGCATCAACAGCAGCAACTGCCGAGCCTAAGACCAAAAGTTCGTCTCGTGGGAGTAGCCTTCGTAGCGACTCGGCGAGCAGAACAAGCCGAGCTCGAATATCTTCTGACAGTGCGAGGGGAAAGTCATTATCACGCACTATGTCTCGGTTCAGGAGGTATGCCAACTTTTGGATCCAGCTCTCGTCTAATAATGCAAATGACTGTAACTTGCAGCGTTAGTAGCAGAAGGTCACGAACCCCTGTGAGAGATAAACGAGATACTGTTTCAGAACGAACGTACACAATTTCGCTGGCTGCCAGAAGGAAAACTGTTGCTGACAACTTTCTACCGATCACCAAACTTACACTGAAGTGCTTCCCTTTTCACTTGCTGAAGGCACGGGCTTAATTTTTGTTTGTTCAGGTTCTCCAAGCAACACCCGAAGAATGTTGCAAAAAAGGTTTTCCGCTTAAGCCAAGATCAGATCCGCATTGACTACCATCATATAGGTCGTCGTATCACTTCCATTTCGCGCGTCTATACGAAAGATGGCACAATGACTCTACTTCAGGTACTTGGTTCACGAAAATTGCTGTGGATAAATTTTTGTCCCAAAAACAGGTTGACCCTTTCGAAAAGGAACTGGAACTGTTTGAGAGAATGGATGAGTTTCATGAACTTCTGATAACTGAACGGGAAATGATAAAGGCAGTCCGTGATGGGGAGAATGAAACTCGTGATATTCTCCAGCATCGCCTCAAGGAAGAGCAAAACGTAATTCTGGAATTGCCATATACAGACGTTGCTTGTTTCAAGCAGGACGACTCGTTGCAGGACCGAGAAGCAGAAAAGAAGGTATTAAATGTTATGGAGCTTCGATCGCAATGACTTTTGCATTTGGCTGCAGGCACCAACCGATTATTTGTCACCGTTTTTGCCACCGGGTACAAGACCAAGGCAAAAGCTGACGCGGGTTCAAATGCTTGAAGTTCGAGAAAATTGCCTCAAGGCACTAAAGCAGCGTCTGTTGAATCGAGCCACGATCATTCAGGTAAATGAAAATAAGCACACGTCAGTAATCTGGAATTTTGTTGTTTCAGACACGCTATGACGAAGAAACTGCTGCATTAGCAAAGCGGCGAGCAAACTTTGAACGGGATAGAGAACAAATGACCGTGGATGAAGTTGAAAAGTATGAGCAGGACTGCGAGACTGCTGTTTTTCGCATCCGCATTTTGGAAAAACGAGCAAAAGAGCACGAACAGTCAGCTTTGAGGAAGTAAGTTCTCACGGTTGTACGATTGACGATGCCAACTTATTTTTTCCTTCTCTTTTCGTGTAGGTACACGGAGCTGGATAGGAAGCTGAGGAGCGATCCCCGGCTTTCATCACTTTATGATGGAACAGCGATGTGAAAGGTGAGCAAAGGCTGCCTTGCCTGCAGTTGCTTTCTTTCTTTGCTTACTTACTAGTTCCTTGCAGCTTTAAAACCCAGAATGACAATGTTTTGCCTCAACGATGCAAGCAGCGGTTTGTATGCGGAGAGGATCAAACTAGTAAGCTTGTTTGTTAAGAACACCCTCCAAAGTCTCATTCCTCTTCTTTACAGGACATCGCCAAAACAGTGTAGCAACATTGAAGAAAACCAGGTGTCTTTCAATAAGCTACTTGGCGCTCTAGTCGCCAAGCAACTAAAAGAACAGGGAACTAAATTCGGGAACGGGGATAGTTACCGGGGAATGCATGTTGAGAATCTCGGGGCGGAAGAACAGAACATCCAACTTCCTTCGATTACGATGGAAACGGAAAGAACTGGATAGTCTGTGAAAGAGGAGATATGGCGGGCCGGGCATATACGTGCGCATATTCTCTTCCTGGATGCGCTCCTGCGAAGCACACTGCCCAGAATGCAACGACTGCCACGTTTGTGCACGGGAGATGGGATTTTTCTTCCGCCAACTTGGTCGACGAGGCTCTTCTTGGCCTTTTTGGACATCTTGATCTTGGACGCTCCATCGCTGTTCTTGGGCCGTGGCAAAGATCGTGGTCATGGCTTTAGGGGGCCAGTCACAGGCTTGGCTTGCAAATCCGATCGCAGGAACAGTGACGAGTCCCACAACCTTGATAGCGTCTTCAACAAACGGGACTGGTAACTGCTCTTCCTCTTCGCAACACGGCATCCAGTTTTTGGAGTTCAAGGCGGGGACGGGAAGTAGCAAGCTATGGTCGCTCTCGAGCAAAGTTTGCAGCCTTTGCTCCGTCTCCCGCGGCAAGAAGTCGAGACTTTCTCTCGGTTTGCCGTTCCTGGCATCGTCATCGCCATCCTCCTCGCCGTTGCCATCGTCGTCTTCACCTCCCGAGGCACCGTCCAGCAGCGAGAAGAAGTTGCATTCCTTGCGGCTGACCGGCTTTCCAGCTCTCGAGAAGCAGTATGCGTTTCTGGACACACCGACGAGCCGGGGCTCCTCGGGAGGAGTTCCCGTCTATGTCATGCTTCCTCTCGACAGCGTCAACGTGAACAACACCTTAAACCGGAGGAGGGCCTTGAACGCGGGGCTGATAGCGCTCAAGAGTGCTGGAGTGGAGGGCGTGATGGTGGACGTCTGGTGGGGGATTGTAGAGCGAGAAAAGCCTCATCACTACAAGTGGTCCGCTTACAAGGAGCTTGTGTCCTTGATCCAAAAGAATGGACTCAAGATTCAAGTTGTCATGTCGTTTCACCAGTGTGGAGGCAACGTTGGCGATTCTTGCTAGTAAGTAACTCTTTCTCCTGTGCTTCTTTTTCGGACCCTGTCTTTGTTTCTCTTGGTTTTCTCCGTCTTTTCAAGCGCTGACAGAAGACTTGTGTTTGTTTTTTGCAGTATACCTTTGCCACTGTGGGTGCTTGAGGAGGTCCAAAACAATCCGAACATTGTGTACACGGACAAGTCTGGCAACAGGAACCATGAATATCTTTCGCTCGGCTGTGACTTTCTTCCTGTTTTACGCGGTAGAACTCCTATCCAGGCCTACTCCGACTTCATGCGTAGCTTCAAACACGTATTCAAAGATGTTCTTGGCGAGACTATCGTGGTAAGCTGCTAGAAAATAAACTCTATAGAATGAGTGCTGTTCGGCACTAAAGCTTGGAATTTTGTAGGAAGTCCAAGTAGGACTTGGTCCTGCCGGGGAGCTCCGGTACCCGGCCTATCCCGAATACAATGGAAAATGGAGATTTCCCGGTATTGGCGAGTTTCAGTGCTATGACAAGGTAACAAATGCTTTACGACGTCCTGGTACTGAAAAAGTTTTGTTTATGATTTTAGTATATGTTGGCAAGTTTAAGAGCTTGTGCGACTGCCTGTGGAACAAAGCACTGGGGACAAGGAGGCCCTCACGACGCCGGTCACTACAACCAGTGGCCAGACGATACGGGGTTTTTCAACAGAGACGGCTCATGGAACTCGCCTTACGGCCAGTTCTTTCTCGAGTGGTACTCCGGGATGCTCATCTCTCACGGTGAGCGTGTTCTCTCCGCGGCCGAGGCCGTCTTCCGGGGGGCGGGGATCAAGCTCGCAGGGAAAGTGGCAGGAGTTCACTGGCACTACGGGACCAAGCCTCATCCCGCGGAGCTCACCGCCGGGTACTACAACACTCGGCTTAGAGACGGATACACTGGCCTGGCTCGGATGTTTGGACGTCACGGGGCGGTCATGATCTTCACTTGCTTGGAGATGCGCGACTTGGAGCAGCCCCCTCACGCGCTCTCGAGCCCAGAGAGCTTGCTCCACCAGGTGGTCTCGGCATGCAAGCAAGCAGGGATCTCTCTGGCGGGAGAGAACGCTCTCCCTCGATTCGACGAGGCTGCGTACGAACAGGTGGTGAAGAAGTCCCGGATGCAAGAGAGCGAGGAGGAGGACGACTGGATTTCCGCGAGCTCTGGCGGCTGCTCGTCCACGGCGTGCGAGCCTATGTGCTCGTTTACGTTCTTGAGGATGAGCGAGAAGCTGTTTTACAGCGAGAACTGGCACAACTTCGTCCCGTTTGTGAGGAGGATGGCCGGCGGCCGGGCATTTCAGGAAGAACACCACGACACCGAGTCACACATGCACGCTACCAGGCCTGTACAAGAAGCTGCTGCCGCTTTGATGTGTCACTAGAACACCTGTAGCACTACGTACTTCTTTTTGTGCTTTGCTTGGCGGTAAGTTTCTCAGTGCAAGGTACTGATTTCTTTACTTTCTCTCCACAGCCATAGCTCGCACGACGCTCGCTGAAACGCTCTACTCAAGGCACGTTTCCGTTTGTGAGACGATTCTAAGGACACGTTGAGCACCTCAGCCTTAGAAAAGCTCCAGTTTCTGGTCGTTCTAAAGACAAAAGTAAGCTTTTAGTGCTGGTAGTTTTGTCAGAACTTATTTCCTTTCACGCATCAAAACAGTGGTTTCGTTTTCGTGCGGTGGCTATCTCAAGGGGCTGCGGCCGGGACCTCCGAAAAAGAAGTAATTTTTCCACTTCTCACCGTTGCTATACAGCTCTATAACGGGAAGGCACTCGAGATAACCTGTGCTCGAGAACCAATGGCGTGTATCGCAAACCGTGGTCGCTACCAAGGCGAACAAGGTACACTTCTCGGTGATAGGCAGCGCGTCAAAAACCGGCCTCTGGGAATTCGCCACTTCCCATCTTCGTCGTTGTGTGCTCGCCAGCCTTTTCAGCAAAGTCCACATTTTTCCAGCGCAAGATATCGTCTCAAAGGCAAGTCTTTAGAAGTCTCAACTCTGTTGTCCACCAACGTCAACAAAGGTGACACTTCTTGCTCTACGTACTTCTTTGCTTGCGGTAAGTTTCTCAGTGCAAGGCATTCTTTTCTCTCTTCACGCCCATAGCTCGCACAACGCTCGCTTCGCTCTGCTTGGTTTTTCAACTCAAGGCTCGTTTTGGTTTGATAGGATCCCAAGGAGCGGAGCGTTAGAAAAACGAATTTTCCAGGTTTCAAGCCTTTCTGGAGTTTATGTAAATGCTTATTTCATTTCGCAGGGATCAAAACAATGGAACTCTCGTTTTCGTGTGGTGCCTATCTCAAGGGCACGCTGGGTTGCGGCCCGGACCTCCAAAAAAGAAATAATTTTTCCACGTATCACCGTTGGTATTCAGCGCTGGTCCCACTCTATAACAGGAGGGTACTCGAGAGAACCTGCCGTTGAGAGCCAACAGCGTGTAGTGCAAAGCGTGATCGTTACCGAGGAGAACATGGTACATGTCTCGGTGATAGGCTGCGTTTTTAAACCCGGCCTCTGGGAACTCGCCACTTCCCATCTGCGTTGTCGTGTGCTCGCTACCCTGCCGTAAAGATTAAAGAGTTAAGATCGCATGGCAAAGCAAATCAATGTCTCAACTTTGTGGTAGAAAACTTCTCCGCCAAAGTCTACATGTGTGGCACCATTGGCGAGATTCGGAACCACCGAGCCCGGCCAGTAGCCAACGTACTCGTCCTCCACTCGAAGCCACCAGTTCGTCGTCTCGGGGTCCTGCGCTTCGCATCAAAGCATCTTTCGAGAATTTTTCGCTCTCACCTGGTAAACGAGGAAGCCAAGTAATGTCTGAGGTCCTCCGCGTTGAGAAGCTGGCCTTAGAGTAGCCCCTGGGACAATCTTGTTGCTCACTTGTACAAAACCGGGGCACTCCAGATTGTAGCATCCAGTGTCCTGGTAATCATCTGCCTGTTGAAAAAGATTTAGTATGTTACTGGGACTTTAAATTGAGAGAAGATTCATTTACTGTCCAGTAAACGAACAGATGAGGCTCGTTATTCCCATACATCGATGGAAACACCTACATAAACACTGGATTAGTAACAGAGTAAAACGGAATAAAATACAACACCTGCCATCCAGCTTCGAGTGTAGTTTTTGTTTGTCCAGCTAAATGCACCACCCAGAATTGGGACAAGCTAAAGTTGTTGGATTCGGTATCTGGTTGCCAAAGGCTAGTTGTGGTTGTCATCCCAAAAACAGGATTGGGGAGAATGTGGCTGTAGCCAGCATGCTGTTGTAAATTATAAATATAAATGATCATATTGATTGCTTTTGCAATTGCAAACCTCGTGAACTGGAGCATTTTCTAGACTAATGTTTGAGAGCTTAGGGTACTTTGATCTGAAACTTTTTGTCAGATTGTTTTGAATTACTGGTATTTTTCCTTGTGGACATGAGCCAATCTCTATAGAAAAATGCTGAGGAAATGGTTTTGGTGGTGACTTACTGGGAAATGTAATTGGTGGAGATAACTGTTTGAGACATTAAATATATAGTACTCATTCGATTATTCATACTTACTTGGATTTCTTTGATTTTCCCATTGAGAGATATTTGCTCTTCAAAATTTATGCATTTAATAACTTCTCCATTGGATAGCTGTGATATTAAGTATGAGTTTCTAAAGCTAGATTTTACTTATAAATCTACCTTATAAACTTCAGTTGCTTGAGCAATTGCAAAATAAAAAGTGAAGGCAAATATCATTTTGAGATATTATTCCAGAGAACAAATGATTGCCTTTTATTCTTGAGTAAAAGTCTTTGCCTTGTAAAAAAAGCTTACAGCTAAGATTGACTATTTGATACAAGAATTATTTTAATTTATCAAGAATTGGTTAGAGGAGAAAAAACGTCCTATGCTCATGAAATATTTGTGTCATGAGAGCCTTAAGATTGCCCACTCTAGAGGGCAGCAACTCCCATGGGAGCTTGACCCCTTTTCAACTTGGTAGACATCTTCTTTCCCCTCTTTATTGCAATGCAAAAATGCATCTTCCCTCCACCTTGATTTTGTGCTTCTACAATGATAGTATCTTAGGATCAATCATCTTCTTCATAGTGATATGCAAACCTTAGCAATTTCAAGCATGAATTAAACTTTAACATAAATATCACATTTTTCAATTTCATTCATTCATTCATATACTATTTACAATGTAGACATAAGGCCAAGTAAGTCTTGAATTTAAATCCCCATAACATTGTACGTATTTAACAATTCTCTTATATTCCTCTTTTGGTATGACATAACTATTGCTAAACTATAACAAATATTCTTTATAAAATGTCTTAAAATCTATATAAACTAGTATAATGTATTTATCTGTAAAGATAATTTTTATCAACAGTGTTCACTTTTGATTTTACTTAGAGAGTTATTTATTTAAAGTATATAGATGTGTGAGGTTATAGCTACAATGCCATATACTAATATTAGCATAGTGGGATTTTGATAGTCGTTGGATTGGTTTTAATCCGGACCATTCGCTCTTATATATAAGTTTGGGTTTTTGGGCTAATTGATATGCACATTTTTTTGTATTCCTTTTCCATATTCTATACACTCATATTGGTGAAGGTGAGGGGCATCTTTAATTGTCCCTGAGGAGTGCTTGAATTTAGGATTTTGGTTTAAATCTAGCTTTTGCATTGTTTAAATTCTATTTCCTTTCTTTTATTCTATTTTTTTAGGATTTTGGTTTAAATCTAGCTTTTTGCATTGTCTAGATTTCCCTTTCAGGCTAGCTTTTTTCATTTCTCTTCTTTTGCTTTTTCTTTTTTATTTCTCTTCATGGTAGATCAATAATCTCCTCCTCCTTTGACTTTGAAGTAGCAGTTAGTACAATTGTTTGATGCTATGCAATTACAATTGAACAACCAAACTTAATTGATAGCGGTATTCACAGCACGTGGTACAACTCCTCCTACTCTTGGTGCCAATCCTCTCATTCAGCCTCGTGGGAATCCCGGGGATGATGTGTATAATTGGTTCGATTGCTTCATAATGATTGCCACATATCATTTTTGGGATAATGCTTGACATTTGCATGAGTTTCCCACGTGTCTCCAAAGGACAGTGTTGCAGTGGTACAATGGTTTGAACGCAGCCACTCGTGAGGATTAGAGTGTTCTCCTGAACGTTTTCAAACACACATTCGAATATGTCAACAATTGTGATAATGCCTTCTAACAATTGCATCATCTTTGTCAAGGGCTATATGAGTCAGTGATGCAATTTGGCATTCATTTCTGAAGCCTCTTGCTTCGTGCAAAGCCAAATATATTGAAGCGGATCAAGCTAAGAATGTTGTAACCAACACTTCGTTAAAATTTTGTCGAACTTGTGCAAACACTTGCTCCCGCTACCCTTGACAATGATCTTCGCTTGGCACAATGTTAAGAGATGTCGCCTCTTCCACTTCTCGCTGCACATCCTTCAACTCAACTTCCTGTGGGTGATAATCCTGTTCCAATGGAGGTTGATGCTGCTATTGCTAGAGTCTAAGGACAAGGGCAAAGCTGTGGTCGTGGCTGTGATGTTTGTTGTTAGGTGTGTAATGAAGTTGGTCACATTTATCGGTGTTGTTAGTGTTTTCCAAATTGGCAGCTGTAGCGCATATGGTTTTTACCCTTTATCCTATGGTGATTTACCATAGGATAACACCACGAACCCTCTTTGTGCCACATGACAGATGCCACGTGTCACATGCCACGTGTCCAAAAGACAATGGTGTGGAACCCGAGTTTCAGGGTCTTGGGCCACTGAACGAAGAAACGGTGCCAAACTCCCAAGTATGGAGCCAAGGAGTGATAGACCCGGACCATGGAACAACTCCCGAGCATACAACCCAAGGAGTGAAGGAACAGGAGCACAGAGTGATTTGGAACGGTCCTAGAGTATCCAGCATCTCAATGCCAGGACCAATACACAAAATGGAGCTAAATAGAGTCTGGCACTATTTCAATATACTGGTGGCTTAAAGCGAGGACATGGGTACTCCACCAGCTAACATGGTGTGGAACTTGGGCTTAGACCCAAGCCGAACGTAGAACAAGGATAGGCACGCAAGCAGGAGCTAAACTATGCCTTAGGTTGGTCGGCCATGCCCGAGCTACCCACTATCCCTACTTACATTTGAAACCCCCTAACTCCCCCCCCCCCCCCCCCCCTTCCCCTTGAGGAACACACGCTTTGGACTTTCATCCCAAGCCTCCCTTAGTATCAAGAGTTAATCTTTGGTCAAAACTTACTAAATATGGAATGGCGCTAGATTGTGAATTTGAACACGGGATGAATACTATTATGTTCAAGACAATCTCTACATTTCGTAAATATGCCAAATGAGCAAATTTAGACACTTTCCATAAATAGCATTTGGGACCAAAATGAGGCTAACACAAAGGGCATGATAGCGAAAGTGTTTGGCAGACACGGTAAGCTATCATCTAGTGATATTGAGGGACCAAGCTCAATATCACGGGGGTTCTTGATATTAGCAAGTGCAAGCCAATGATAGGAGTTTCTCAAACTGGGCCGAGTATGCTCAGCAAGAAACACATAGGAGTTCCTACCTTATGTTTATCCGATTTAAGTGTACGGTCAATGACTAGTTTCTCAACTAGCTCAAGTGGGAACTAATAACGGGTCTAGCAATACCAACCTCCTGCCATCATGGCAGTAAGGAAAGAATATCCAAAAGGACTAGCCGACAGGTAACTCGAACCCGAAGTAATATTTGCGATAGCAGACGCCATTTCCTAGGTGGAAACCTTGGCATCAACAATGTCTTGTTAGTGCTATTGCAGTGGAAGTTTTGAACACCGAGATACATCTAAGAAATGAGGAGTCGCACAAGTAACGGAGGGACTTTACGCAAATAAGTCAATGACCCCTCCATCTTTCTTTTGGAAGTAACATCAAAGGGTTCACTTGGCGCCAGTTCATCTAGTGTTTACTTTCCAAGCTCATTTTTATAACAAGTAGTCTTCTATTATTCTCTTCATATTGGTTGATACAGGTTCAAGTTTATCTTCTATTGCTCAACCTGTTGCCACACGTTGCCATCTACACTTGCGTTGTGTAGTGGAACCAGTTTCATTCTTTATGGCAATGGCCGTACACATGCATATGTAGACCTAGTTATGCATGTAGGTGATCTCGAGCTTGGGTTGCAATCGTTGCAGGTGGTGCTGAGTCAAGTTTTTGACTTTATCCTTGGTATGAATTTGTTGCAACACAATCATGCCAAATGTGACTTTGAGGCTTCTCCCTTTTGTCTCATACTTTCTTATATTTCATCCATTCCTCTCACTTTTATACCTTTTCGTCCCTTTGCTTTTACCTCTATTTCCATTACTTCTGTTCCCTCATTACTTCTTTCTATGTTTCTGTCTTGTTCTGCTCTTCCTTTTTCTAATCCCTCTGACAATCTTTGTATTGTAACAGTTGACCAGCTTATGAAGGAGTATTCTAATCTCTTTGAATTTGACCTATCGTCTAAGGCCAAGATTGCTATACATCATCCAATTCCAAATAAGGATGCTTGTCTAATCAAGATTCTTGTTTGTCATCGGTCACCAAAAGAGATTAAAATTTTATGTGCAAACATCAAGAAGATGTTGGAAAAAGGTGTTATTTAGAAGTCATAGAGTCCTTGGGCATATAAACCTTATCTGACAAAGTCTAATGGGAGTATTCATTGACTATCATCTGTTAAATGAAGTGACGATCTCAGATATGTACCCTCTTCCTCACACTATTGATCTCTTGGATCATCTAGGGTGAAGTCGTTGGTTCACTAAACTAGATCTTGCTTTTGGGTACTGACAAGTACCAATGGCCGAAGAAGATATTCTTAATTACCTTCCATTTATTAAATATATCATTTGAAGTCACTAAAATATTAACACGTTAAAACACTAAAAAGTTTAATTATTAATGTACTTGAAATTTATTAGTATATATAATTTCTAATAAAAATAAATAAGAAAATATTCACTTCTAATAATAATAAATGAAACAGAAATCTGAACATAAGATTGTTATACTATGTAGCTAAATGATTCTCCTATAATAGTTTATTACCACCTCCATTATATATACAATATATTTGTGTAATGGTTTCTAAAATATAAATATATAAAAAATATTAATATTATTTTTATTTCTATCTTTATCTTGTATATTTTCATGTAAAATTTATCCTTACATAGTTTTTTTCTTATTTTATTCAAAATAAAATATATATATTTCCAAGATTAATTTATTTATTATTACTATTAACTCAGTTGTCAGTAATAAGTTATGGCATTAAATACATCATAATATAATATTTTTTACTTCTATGTGAAATTTTTTATGGTGGGTAAAACTATATGAAATTATTTTATTTTATTTTACTTGAAGTCTAATATAGAGAGGATAGAAGTGTGTTCATTGTTCACTAATTAATAATAGCATAGTAGGCTCTAACCACCAACAAATGAAGTCTTTTATATATACAAACACATAATTTAACTTACAAATTGTTTCAAATGAGATATCATGTCTAGTCTTTGTAGAATATAATACTTACAAAAAGTAATCCAAGTGATCAACATTTATACAGTAATAATTTACAATTTAAAGTAGTATCTTTTGTAATATTGTAAATAGATACAAACTATTTATAGTCTCTAGAATGCAATATATAAATTGTCAATACTTTGTAAACATGATGTTCCAATTTTAAAGTATATAAGACATATCATTCTAATTATGATAAGTACATATAAAAATTAGATTCGTTTCATTTTCTTTAAATGATAAAGTTGCAATGTATTTAAATTGCATCTCATACAATATTTTTTCCAGTTTATGGTATATTTAAGATTAATATTATTTAGTTGTGTTATGTCTGGTATACAAGAGCTATAAGAATAACAAATAAATTGGTACACTTAAAGGTATAAATTATATACTTTAGTTTGTTTTAATTATAGGTAATAATAGGGTGATTGTATGATGTCACTTTGCTCTCTTCTCATCTTGAATAAAAGTTGATATAATGACCATACAATTCTAACAAGTCTCAACGCCCAAATAGACCATGACCAATCTTCAAACATTGTTTCTCATTCCTTTTAGGGTTTTAAAGATTTTTGAATGGAGCGCCTACGAGCAAGGGTTCCAGGGCCACTACTGGAACGCATCGAGCGCAGCAAAGAGGCGGAAATCGAGTCTACAGCAGCCGCGCTTGCCGCATTTCTCGATCGCGATCCAGTCTTTCGTCATGTAAGTGGTTTTTTGTTGATGTTTGAGCTTACATTTTGCGCGATCCAGGCATTGGACCGGCTTTTGCAGCCGACTACGTGTGGCAAGGATTACGAATCGGCTGCGAAGCACAAGGCAGATGGAAACAGAGCATTTCAGCAGCGGGATTACAAACAAGCAATACAAGACTACACAAAGGTATGGCTGCGAAGTAAAACGAAAACTCATCTCCTCTGGATCTTACCAGGCATTGAAGCTCATGCCATGGAATTCCGCATCGTGCAATGATTTGGCGACTATATTTTCGAACCGTGCGACAAGCTTTCATGTAAGAGTGGTTCCTCTTTGCGTTCCTTTCTTTCTTTTCTCTCGTTTGAGTCCACTAATAAGCTCATGCTGTGCTAGAAATCGGGCTTAAAACTGGAAGGTATAAGGGATTGTGACCGAGCAATCGCGCTGAACGAATCATATGCAAAAGTAAGTTTGTGAGCTCTGGGAACTCTAGACTGATAAATGTTGGTGCTAGAGGCATGGTACAGGAGAGGACTTATCAAGGCCGATTTGTGTGACTACCAAGGAGCTGTCCTGGACATGAAGCTGCTCATACTCGCGAGTGTTCGGTGAGCGGCAAAAAGCAAGTAGAGGTTGAGCTCCTCCAAGTTCGTCAAAAGCTTAAGCTAGCCTCACCACAGGCGCAAAGAGGTGATGATCGTTTTTTTTTTTTTATGTTCTTTATAAGCTTAAAACATCTCTAGATTTAAGCACATCTTTGAAGGCTGGTATTTCGGCTCAGACGGCGATGTATTGGAGCGCTGATAAGCAGTGGGGACTGAGAACAACATCGGAAGTTCAGGCTGGCACGCTCGTTCATTCGGAAGAAGCTTTAGCAGGGGTATGCATTTTTTTTTCTTTTTGTTCTGAATTGAGAGTAAACACTTGCAATATCGCAGATCTTGTTGAAAAAACATCGTCCTACACATTGTCATGGCTGTTTCGGTGTGGTACCAGCAGATTCTGTTCCCTGTATCGGATGTGGAGTTGTATCATATTGTAACGATGCTTGTCGTGATGATGCAACAGGTAAACATTTCAAGTTTCGTTCTGATAAGAATTGTAAAACCTTGGTCCAGTGGAGCATAAATTGGAATGTGGAGGCAGTGGATGGGCTGCTGCTCTTCCCGAAGAGGGTGTTCTTGCTGCTAGAATCTTAGTCACTAATTTACAGGTAACACTTACATATTCTATAACATCTTTTTAATGTTTAGCAGTGCGAGGTTGATCTCTGCCACCATTATAACGATCTTCCATCTCAAACTAAAGTTGAGCTCTATCTCCTGGCTGCTACTCTAGCAAAGTGCCTGATGGCCTCTTGGTTGGCGTTTTCTTTTGAAGATCTTCTCGCCAAGGTCTGTTCAACTAGGAAAAAGTGCGTGCTCATTTTGTTCTCTTCATGCAGCTTGTTCTTTTGCTTGCAATGCTTCGATTCAATGCGATGGGAATCATACACATCTATTCATCAGATGAGACTGGTAGTTCGTCGGGAGCGCACATCTGCGGGATTGAGCATGTAAGCAGAATTGGTAGTATTATACTCCTGTTTTAATGCCATACTGTTTTCTGATAGGTGGTGGTTGCTCAAGCTCTTTTTGTGCGTGGTAGCAAGTTCAATCATTCTTGTAGCCCCAACGTCCATGTCTCGTATGTCAAGCGCACCTTACGTGCTCATTGTACCGAGGCGCTTCCAGCTTTTTGTCCGCTCGAGATAAGCTATGGCGTTCAAGTAAGCAGCTCATCTGACTAGCTTATACTGACTGCTTTTGGCCCGGTCGGAGAATCTGAAAGTCACAGAGAAAGATATGGCTAAGAGATCACTACCTTGCGGTTGGGTGCTGCGAAGCCTGCCGGCTGGGTTAAGTGTCGGACTTGCTCCATATCGCATATTACTGTTGTCAACCTGGCTGTCAAGGCATTGTGCTGGATCCAGACGCTTCTGACGAGGATATACTTCTGCCTGGAGGTTCTGGCACAGTGAGGTTTCTTATCGAGCATTGCAACATTCTGCCGCAGGTATGTTTTTCTTTTTATGCCGCGGTGTCGTTGCTGAGGGGCTGGGTGTTGCTAGGATATAAACAAGGATTCACCCCAGTTTATTCTGCCTGCTAAACGATGCTTGACATGTAAAGCGGTTAGAAGTTTGAAAGATGATGGCAGAAGGAACCTGGAGGATCTTCAAATTTGCGGCAGTCGTTTAAATGGGAACGAGGCAATAGCTGATGGCTTAAGGTTATTGGAGAACGGTAGAAAGTGCTTCCATCCATTCAGCAAGCAGTTGGCTCAGGTGCGTTTTCATTTTTTGCAAATCATATCTTCATGAGTTTTGCATTTCAGATGGAAGACATAGTGGCAAGACTATATTGTGAAGCAGGACAGCAGCCTGCAGCCGCTATAGTTCACGCACGAAGGTCAATAGAGGTAAATTACTGTTTTGTGACGACTTAGTTCTATCTTTCGTTCTCTTCAGATTCTTGAACGCATATATGGGAAAGATCACATTGCAATGGCATATGAACGTCTGAAGCTCGCATCTATTGCAGGGATCACAGGAGCCGCAAGGGAATGCTTAGCAATGGCAGAGAGAACATTCAGTTTCTATTATGGCTTTGACTACGGAGCAGTATTTCCTGATCTAAAACGGTTGACGAGTTTAGAATGAACAGTGGAAAAGTATGACATTGTAAGGCTACTACGTAATAAGGGCAACCACAAACGTTTATCTGAGTCTGTCCATCAAGAAACCAAATTCGATTACAGTGGAATTATCTCCAAGAATATTATACCTTTATTCCTTCCAAATAGCCATAAATAGATGGCTAACATATTAGGTTGTTCTTGCGGCAGAGTCATGGTACCAGAGGAGTTATTGGCGGAGATCTTTTCAAGGGTAGACAAGGGCACTCGACAAGGCTTGCAAGAAGTGTTCGAATGGAATCACGTGCTACAGAAGATGGTAGGATTGCCTTATGAAATATTAGGGATCAAGGCAGTTCCATGCCCAATTGTTGGTGGTAATCAAGTAAACTGGGAAGTCATGTGTTGTAGCGAGGGGTTTGTGATCATGTACTCACGAGAGATTGGGCAATCACATCTGTTTGACCTTTCCAAGGGGAGCAGCATTCAAATCACAAGAGATCTCTGCGCCACCACCTTTTCAAGCAATCCACAAATGGTGTACCTCAGAGGCAGTCTCTACATAGCAGCAGATGGCAAGACACTAGGAAGATATGACTTGGATGTAAAGGAATGGAGCGTTCTAGCGGAATTGCCTACAGATTGCAAGCTTGAGAGGATGCTTGTGTTTCAAGATGGAATTGTGGGCGCTTTTGAGCGTGTAACTTTCCCAGTTGGAATTAAGGCAGTGAGTTTGGAGCTGCGATTCTTGGATATGGGGAGCCATAGCATTTGTACAAAGGGTTGGTGTGAACCTTTTACCGTTACCGTGATTGAGAGTGGCGTAATCCCAGCTATGACAGTTTTAAATAAGGTACTGTTGGTAAAAATAGAATGGTTCAAGGACAGTGGTGGAAATTGGCTTTATTTTTGGAATGAGGAGACGTCTGCCTGGGAATGTTTATCTGGAAAGCTGGATGGAGAGCCAATTAAACAATTGGTTGTGATGAAAGATAATGAGTTACATGCGTATAGTTCTCACGGGACTTTGGTTTCAAAGTGCTTAATTCACTGGGATGCGGAGAATGTACAATTTTCTAAAGTAAAATGGGAGAGGGTGTTTGGAAGCACTTACAACAAACCTATAAAATTTTTATCAAATATTCCATATAAGCTGGGAAACATGACATTTGTAAGACAAACATATCCATGCTCAATGTAGTTGTACAAGCAATTTATTAGCATGAAATGAATCAACCTCGAAAGATACCCTGTTTGGGCATATCCAGAAACCGTTTCTAGCCTCCATTTTCTGACACAATTCTTCAGCGCTAGGCATTTTGTTAGATCTTGTGAGCCCACACGGCGCGCCTGACAACTCAGCACCATGTCTCTGAGCTTCTACGGCCATCGCTAGGATCATCACCACGCCCAGCCAAACCCCCAAAATTCCGCAGTTCCCACACCGATGAGGTTAAGACAGAGCCAGCGAAACTACTGCTGGGTTGGAGCCTGTGGATAGTTGGACGCTTCGGAAAAAGACCTTGGCTCACATTATAAGAAAAAAAAAAACTAAACAATCACAAATGAAATGGAACGATCGATAGACCAAGTGACAATCAGAGGTCGTCCTTGATGTCTCTATCCTCGGCCACCTCCATCTTCTTGAGGTTGGAACAAGGATCAGTGCCTTCTGATAGCTTGAAACGAGAAGCCTTCATTAGAGCCTCGAAGTATCCATCCCCGTTTCCAAGCACTCGCATCACGTTTCCAAGCGACTGATAGAAGTGTTCAAGATGGGTGTGAGGATACTGGCCTTCGTTCTGGCATTCGAGGTGCTCACAGACGAGAGAAGGCGCTATGCACTGCGGGACGCCATTCCTAAGAGCATGGTGATAGAAAAAATCAAATGAGAACCTGTGGAGTGGAGCCTCGTCCAAAGCATCCCGAGGGTGGAGCTAGACGCGCCACCGTCCTGTGCCTGATGATCGCTCTGATCGCCCTGATCAATCGGCGCATCCGGGGGTAGCTCCGGCTCCAGCATTGCGGATGCGCCGATTGATCAGGGCGATCAGGGCGATTGGGCGCAGGACGGTGGTCCGTCTTCTTCCGGCACCCTTGAGCGCGGCGACAGGGCGGATGCGCCGATGGGTCGTGGTTCCGGCACCCTTGAGCGCGGCGGCAGGGCGGATGCGCCGATGGGTCGTGGTTCCGGCACCCTTGAGCGCGGCTCGATCATCCAAAACTACGAGCAGAAGAACGACGCACCAGAGGAGCTTCTTGGACTGCCATGCCTCTCGATCTTGCGCGTTTGCCCGCCCTCCCTGGCCGGATATATGTGCCGAGTGATGTTTCATCATTTCAAACGAGCGGTGGCCGTGGATTTGTGAATTCGCGCTCCACTTTGAAAGCGACCAAACCTTACTTTTTACTCATGTAATTCGTTCACGATCGACTTCACACGTGTCAAGCGAGCAGGGCTTTGATCGGATGGACCTTGTTGGATCGCGGCATCTCTTCATGTACGAATGTAGCTGCTTACGCACAAAGCATGTATCTTAAACACAGTAACCTTATCATTGATCAAATGGGAAGGTGATCTATTTGATTCTCTGCAAGAAAAGACCTTAGTTCTTACAATATAATCCTGTCAAGCTTTGCACAACATAAAGAAGCAAAACTACTTTTTGATAAAATGGAAATCAGAAATCTAGTATCATGGACTGCCTTGTTTACTGCATATGCCAAAAACGGTCATCTAGATCGAGCCAAAAGGACATTTCAAGGCTTGCTAACCCAAGATGTAATCATTTGGAACTCGATTTTTGGTGGCTTCGCACAAAACGTAGAGTCAAGGAGCTCTTTTAGGAGGTGAACAAGCTAACCCAAGATGTAATCATTTGGAACTCGATTTTTGGTGGCTTCGCACAAAACGTAGAGTCAAGGAGCTCTTTTAGGAGGTGAACCCTGTCGAAACCCTGGACGATGTCACATGTTTGTGTGTACTCCAGACAAAGGAGAGGGAAGAAACTTGTTTCGATCCATTCGCTTCGATTTTGAAGTGGCCCACACGAAGCAGCATTACGGCTGCTTGCTGGGATTGCTGAGTCGAGCTGGTTACTTGAGCGAACTCATAGCCACCATGCCACCTGTAAGAGCCATGCGAGGAAGTTTTGCAAGTCAAAACGTCCTGGGCTTGGACCCATGGAATGGTTCCCTTATGTGTTGTTAGCACATCTGTATTCTTGGCAAAAGAGAAAAAGAACCCAAAGACGTGAATGACTACTTTGGCAGCTCTAGTACAAATTGGCTCCCACGCTATTGTATCCACGAGGAGTAAACTCCATTTTCCTGCTTAAAAACATAACAATCATGCATTATTTTTTAACCTTTTCTTTTTCCTGCTAAGAGGTGGTCCGTGAAAATTATCGTTATGGTCTTACCGATAAGACTTAACTCCTTACTCCATACTTCTTCCGTCACAAACTATCATCAATAAACTATTTTTCAACCTTTTCTCGTGAGAATGGCAGCAGAGTTCTTTCAATAACTCTATAGATGTTCTTCGCGCTCATCAGGTAGATTCTGCGACGAATGAGAATGTTGCTCGCCCTTGCTCTTGCTACCCTGCTGCTGCTGGCGGAACGCGTTTCTTCCGGATCCAGCGTTTTGTGACGCTGTCCGGAGATTGTTTCATCACCAATGCCTATGGGACAGGAACACCAGACAGAGAAATGGCCATTTGTTTCTCTTATCTTAGTTTCTTTAGGTTTTGGCTTAAGTTTATATATGAAAAGTTTTAAAAAATCTATGAAGAATATTCAAGAATATACTAGATATTCCTGGATATTCTAGGTAAATTCTTGACAGAATTGTATTAAATTGTTATAAATAAAGTTTTCCTACAGCACCACTATATTGCAGCTTGCCAAAGAGGCTCTGCAAGGCCAGTGAATGGGAACAGCATTCTTGGTCGTAGGCATATGGTACACTGCCTGAATCACAACTGTGGAAAAACCAACAAAAGGATAAGAGATAAAAGTAATTACCTTAAGCGTCTGAAGCAGTGAGTTCATGTAGCCGATCCTCTAGATGTTCGTGAAATGGCATGAAGGCGGTAAAACCCCGAGTATCTGTACAAAATGCTTAACGTTGAATCCCGACTTCTCTTTAGCTGCTGTAACGCATATAAAGCTTCTGCTCGAACCGCCGAATCTAGTCCAGTCGAGGAATCCGCAACGTCAGATGGATAGATAGTTTCCACAAGGATACGCCTATCATCACACGAAGGAAAAAAACAGGAACAAAGCTCGTCACGTACCATTCATACCCCGTCAGAGTAGTGCTTCCTCGAAGTAACTCTCAAAAAGTTTCACGATAACATTTCCAGACAGCGGGTCCAGTCGCCGTCTCGGTTTGCGCTACAACAGAAGAACACATGCCATATTACTTCCAAATCGCAGAAAGAAGCAGGGAAAACCCACCTTCATTGCCTCGTTCACCTTGCCAGATACCAGCACTCTCAATAATCCTGCGAAATCTACCAGAAGAGTGAATACTTCCTGAATCATTTCAGCACATACCTCCAGGGGCGCCGCCATGGCTGTCATCGCTCCAGCCTCGCAAACGTTTCGCCCTCATCTCGATCTATGGACTTTATATTTAAGGGCTTACATGGAGCTTACAAGTACGTCAAGTGCTGGTATTGGAATGTCCTCTCTTATGAGGTCCTCCTTTTCGAATTCCTCGATTGCCGGTGGAAAGAGATGATCCCTGCTGTGCTTCGACTTTGTCTCCCAGCCAAGGAACCGGGTGTATTCAGATATTGCAAAGGATGCGGCCTCGAATCATTCTATGCTCTCTAAGAACCACCACGGGATGCCCAACGTACTGTTTATAAGCACGCCACATCGCCGTGTCCGGTGGCTTTGCGAGATCGTAGTCCTGTTCATCAGCCATGCCTCTTTCTTTTCGTAGGGGAACACCCTTCATCACAAAAACCAATGCCGAGATTAAATCTATGTGTTGAATAATGGAAGCTATTACCACATTGCTTCAACAGTGCAGTCCCTCACACCTTTCTCCATGAAGGACGGAGTGCGCTCCTTGCAAAAACCATTTGCTAGAACCTGGCAAGAAGAAAAGAATCAAAGTTTGTGCACACAAACATGTACATACCTCCTCCTCCTCTTGCATGCTAGAATCCTATGTCCCAAGCTGGCCATCTCGTCGAACAAAACACTTGAACATATATAACTCTGGAGAGGCACAAAACTTACACGTCAACTTGTGGTCGTAATAGATTCGGAGGTCGTAGCGCCCAAGCCAGATGCGAGCGTGCTGCGTGCAAAGCCGAGATGGCATGGTAGTGCGGCATACAACCTTGGACACCAAGTCCAGTAGCTTTGGTAAGGGGAGAATTTGATGCTCCACTTCTCCTCCGCCTCCCCTTTGCATCGCCCTGCAACTGTTGTCGACAAGAGAAACCAATAAAAAAAGACTTCTTGCATCTGAATTCCCCATTGCAAGGCTTGCGGGGCAAGAGATCCATTTCAATAACGTTGCGATGCTTTCCAGGTTTTTCCAGGTCTTTTCATAGAAATCTCTTGTCACTAGGTAGTTTTCCTCCACGGCCCGTTTAACTCCATTGCTGGGTAGTTTATCTGCGGATCTGAGGCGTACCACGCTACCCGTCTGAGACCTTGAAACCAGGGAAGGTGTTAATGATGTTGTCAGGAACTTCATCTCAAGGGATATTAATTATGCTCAGGCGGTGTCCAAGTTCGTCTCCAGAGTCAGCTCAGCCGCATGAGGAGGAGGCAGCGGCGCTGGACGAGCACGCATGCTTAGATGCCGTGCTTGCGAGATGGCATCCCTCTGACGCTGTTCCTGGTGCTGGCACTCTGCTACATCGCCCGCCTGCCAGATGCCGAGAGCAGTGTTTGTGCTACAACGCTGCGCTGGGAGGACGCGCGAGCGCAGATGGACTGGATGGTTGATTTCGATTGCCGGATGCTGCTCTCGCGGACTGGACTTACAAGCCTTGCCTCGCTAGACGCATCGAAGCAAGACGAGGAGGTGACGGAGCACCTGGAGCGCTTGTGGAGCGAGTTTTGCAAGGACAGGAACATCAAAGGTTTTGAGGCCAAAGTTTTCTCGTTTCGTTACGTTTCCTTACAGTGAGTGGCGCTGCGAATACTGTGCCCTACGTTTACTACTACCAGGCTTCCTCAGTATGTTACAGAAAAACGACTACCATCATCTTGCCTGGCGTCCGCACGTTGTATACTTCATATTAACAATCGATTAAGTTAAGAATTGAGAAAGATAACATACTAAAGAATTCTCAAAACTTAAAATGTATGAAAGGCTAGTCAATCATCATCCAAAACGATAACAACAGACTTCTTCTGCTCCACAGTTCCCTTACTTCTGGTTCTCTTTGCAATGCTAGAGATGTCCACAGCAGCTCTTTTGCCATTTCCCAAGCGAAGTTCTCCCACTTCCTGCCATTACCAAAACGCTTAGTGAGGGGAAAGTAAAGAGAGCTCATAGCATTCACCTTGGCTTTTCTAGGAGCCTCTTCTCCCCTCATGGAAAGTTCTTCATCGCCATCCTGCCATACAAAACGCTAAACGTCAGTTAAACCGAAGTAAAAGGAGTTTTTACCTCCACATCAATGGTGGCCGAGTTTTCCTTGCCCAAGGAATGTTTTCCAGTCGAACCCTGGAACCATCCACCAAATTAATCTTCATCGAGGCCAAAATAGAGAAAGCATTTACCTTGACTGTTTTCGTGTCCTTGCCCACCGATAGTACACCATTCGTATCCTCATTTACCTTGAGCGTTCTCCGTGCCGATTTTTCCTTGAGTACAAAAAGTTCTCCGTTTACAGTCGTGTCCTCATTTACCTTGACTCCTGCATTTGCAGCTATATCCTGTGATGCCAAGCATTAGTGAAACAAAAGAAAACATGAAAATCCACCTTCTCTTTTCTCTTGGCAATGGCACTTTCCATCTCAATTTCCTTGCCCACCGTAACACTCGCACCCTGCATGAGCACATTTCAATTCCACAAAAAATGATAAGCCAAATTATACCACACGTCCGAAACAATCCTCGTCCTTCTCTTCGTCAGCCTCTTCGTTTTCTTCCGCTTCTTCAGCCCCTTCATCTCCATCGTCATCAGCAGCAGTATCACGATTTTCCTCTTCCTGTTTCGCAATGGCATCTTTCAGCTTTTGAATGACATTATCCATATCGTTGTTGACCTGATGACAATAGAAAAACTTAAATCTCCAGCAAGATTTCCGATAGAAGTCTACTTACTGCAGGGGCTTCCAGAAAATCAGCGATGTCCTTGTTACACTGAGGACACAGCTTCTGGTTCTTCCGAACTCTGAGGGACCGTCGGCCATTGCCCCTCTCTCGAACGTCCTTGTGGCCAGCAAAATGACCAATCAAACAAGACTGACAAAAATTGTGGCCACAAGGAGCGCAAAGCGGACGTTGCAATACATTTTTGCAAAGGCCACATCCAAATCCTACAGAAAGAACATTGTCGTGAGTAGGCAATGACTTAAGCAAGTAGAGATCAGTACGTACTGGTTTTCAGTTCCTTTTCCTTTGACGATACAGTTTTCTTCCGAGCAGATGACGGATTATAACTTGGAGGTGCCTTAGTCCATCCCCAGACATTCTCGTCCTCCTAAAACTGCCATGTTAAAGAGCATAGTGAAAGCAGGTAACACAATCTTTACCTTCCAGTCCCATGCCGGCCGTTCCGTCTTCCTTTCTTTGACGTCCGTGGCATTTTTAAGCTCTGCAATCTCCGGAAGTGGACGTGGCCGATCACCATAGTCCTCACTAATCACCAGAATTATCAGAAAGAATATACATGATAAAATTTTCAGAAACACACACCTTGTCCAGGGTGCCGGCTCGTTGTCACACCTGACGAACAAATACCGGCACACCAGAAAGCCCTGGTTCACGACTTAGCAACGATTGCAGTAAACACCACTCTTACCTTGAGACCGATTTTCCGCCAGCATCTCTCAATTCTGTACAGTCCATCGTACCTCAGGCCTTCTTGAGGTGCGTAAGCAGAACGCACGTCTTTCGACGATCTGCAAAAACACGCTTACTAAATACTAGAACCAGGAAAAACAAAAACAACAAGCTCACCGCACAACGCGTACGGGGTACCCTTTCAAACAGCTTACAGAGAGAGCTCTGTTCGATTTCGAAAAGACCTGGTCGAACGATTGATCGTTCGTTCGTTTGTTACCACTCAAATCCCTGCCACCACTGCAACGAAAATGGAAGCCATAAAGAACGCATGTAAGAACAAGATGAATCTCACCTCCCGGTGTAGAGAAACCATTCTCCATGGTCCTCGTCGTCCTCGTAGCCACCAGACATGACCACAGACTGAGCACCTCTGTCGCTTTGCCCAGCGATTCCCGCGACGTGGGGGCTGTGAGCACCCCATTGCCTGCACTCCATCCTATCCGCCCAAGTCTCGCCAACCAAAACTCCCAAGTTCCTCTCGGGGTCATTCTCGGCTGGTATAGCCCCGAAGTGATACTTGCCAACCGTGACGAAGATCCTGCCACTCGACGCGTTGGACAAGCCGGCTTTCTTCGCTCTCTCGCTCTTGAATGCTCTGTCTGGCCTGTGCTGGTTTTGGAGGAACTGGACGGACTTGGAAGCTGATGAGCTCACCCCACTGGCAGCAGTCTTGGCCATTCGAATGGCTTGCACAAGCACCGGGTTGATCTTTGGCTGCTGAATAAAACTTCGGTGGAAATCCACCCGGCATTTCCCGCATTTCTTGTGTCCCTGGGCGAACCACTTCTGGAGACATCTGAGGCAGAAGTTGTGGCCGCAAGGTGTCTAGAAAAAAAGGAGAAAGAACTTAGTTTTCTTGCAGAAAGAAAGAACAGAGAAGAGAGAACAAAAGGAAAGGAAACATACCGTGACTGGGCGATCGAGAGGGCCCTGGCAAAAGATGCAAATCAACTCATCTCGATCTTCCTGACTTCCAGCCGGAACAGCACCATTGCTTAGTAGCTTCTGCCGCTTCGCTGCTTTCTGGACGTCGGAGAGAGTGTTATCCGCATTTATCTCACGGATCTTTGTCAGCAGCACCTTATCTCCACCACCACCGCTTGGCGGCGGCTTCCCGCTGCTGGCCGGATCGTACTCGCAATCCGGGCACTCCCAGTAGTCAGGACGAACATCCGCCAGGGTCTTGGGCGTCTTGAGGCATTGAAGATGCCACAGACAGCCGCAGCTGGCGCAAGGCAGGATCTCCTGCTCTGGCGGCTCCCTCTTGCAAACCAGACACCTCCCATTCTCGCAAGCGAGCTCCATCGCCTTGAAGGCCCTACCTTTGAGACGTAGCGATCTCCCTAAACCCTAGGATGAAGGGCTTTGCTTTCAAAATTATTCCCGCTCACCAAGAGCCCCTTAAAAAGAAACAATTAGAGAATATTTTCAAATTTGGGCGCCAGACCCAAAAGCTAAAGTGCCCTAGAAGTGCCCTAGGCAGAAAAAAAGAGCAACCGTGTAGATCAATATTTTCAAATTTGGGCGCCAAGAACAGTAGTATACATATAGCCGAAGCTGGAAGCTCTCCCTCCAGCAAACTCAAACAGGAAGATCACCGTCTAACGATTCATCTTCCATCGGGGAGCGCAGTATCACTAGAATCGCATCCTCCGCCTCTAGAATTCAACATCGTTGCCGTCTCTTTGATCGTAACGATCATCTCCATCGTCATCGTCGTCACTACCATCGAGCTCATCGTCACTGGAGGAGGGCTTGGCGAGCTGCCGGACAGGACCACCCATCAAGAACAATCCCTCGGCCCTCTCGCCCTCGTGGATCGGCCCGGCGATCCTCTGCTGGAACACCGCATTGCTGCAATTCAGGAACCACGCCAGGCTGAAGCTCAGACCCTTCTCCGCCACGCGCTTGTAGCGGAACCGGATCCTCTCCTCGAGCCCATACGTGAAGAAGGCCGGGAACTCCACCAGCTCCTTGATGCTCCGCTTCATCTGCTTCACGTAGAACTCCATCGATTCCCTCATCGATCGGGGATCCAGCACAAGGATCTGCGGGCACAGCACCACCATCTTGCCGATCTCCTGCGTGGTGAATCCCCTGGCCTGGAAGAAACTCACGCGCGCCGCCGCGAAGCGGCGATGGAGGTAGAGGACTTGCGGCAACTTCTCGAGAACTCTCCCGGTGCTCGCCCGCGGGACCTTGAGCGTCTTCTCCAGCCAGTCCGCCAGGGACTCCACCAGCTTGTCGATCGGATCCACGAGCACGGTGGGCATTTGCAGCACCAGCCCGGGCAATCCATCGCCGCTCACACCCGCCCTCTCGAGCAGCGCCGCGTTGTCCTTCATCCGGGAGAGGTCGTGCGCGAGGATCTGGATGTGGTGCTCGAGGATCTTCCCGGCGGCCTCGCGCGGCATGCCCAGGCCACACAGGAAGTCCACCTTGGGTTTGATGTTGTTGCCGACTCTCATCCCCAGGATCTCCGGGAACTCGAGCACGATCCCGGCGATGGCGCGGATGTGGACGCCGATGCTAACCAGGTAGGCGATGGAGGTGCTCATCGTCCCCTCGAGCCGGAAGCCCAGCATGTCCGGGTACTTGACGAGCGGCCTTGGAACCATGGATCTTGGAACTCCCAGTCCCATGAGATAGATCACCACTGGCTGGATGTCCACCGTGACGCTCGAATGGAGAACCATGGGATACTTTCGCAGGAGCTTGGTGAGATCCGCGGCCGAGAAGCCCAGCGCCTCGAGGTAGTTGATCACTGGCACCATGTTCTTCTTGACGCTGCAGCACACCACGAGAGGATACTCGTTGATGTGGATCTTCTCCAGGCCGAGATTCTTGAGGAAATCCAGGCGCTCGGCCATCACGTCCACGGTGGTGGGGAGCTCCACGGACTCAAACTCGTCGGTGTTGATCCCCTCGCCGCGCAGGTAGTCCAGCACTCGCTCGCGGCCCTCGCGCTGCGCGTTCTTGTCGCCCACCACGCCCCAGGTGATCGAGGGCCGGACCACTGGCGCCGGCGGGTGGCTGCTGCTCGGTTGCTGCTCAAGCTCCTCCGCCGTGAAGAGAAATCTCGCGGGGATTGCCCTGCATTCCATCCCCGCCACGTACCTGGAGCTGCCGATCGATGGCGAGCAGCGCGCATTTGCGATCCAGCGCCTCGCGAGCGCCATCGCCATCGCATTTCTTCCCATCTGCTAGAACCCAGGAAAACCCTAAACCCTACTAAGAATCTTCATGAAGATGCTTCCGTTTTAGAAGTTTGATCCTTTAGTTCTAAAGCAAGAGATATACTAGCGAAACATTGTAACATGAAACACCATATTGGCAGCATTTCCCCATAAAGGGAATGTGCGCAAGACCAAGCAGACTTTTCGAGAGATGGCCGAGTGGAATTTTATTACCTGGAAGAAACTCTTATATGTCTACTTTAAAAACAATAAGATAGGTAAAGCTGGAAAATTTCTATGTCTAATGCCATATGGAGATTTACAGCCTTAAAAAACCATACATACAGCACATGCCTCGTGGAGGTATATGCATATCATTATACGGCTCACTAGAATTGGTGGACTGTTTAATTCCATTTTTAATATCTAAAAAGAAATAACAATAGAGAATGCAAGGTGGAACAAATGTATCTGCTCCTCACGAAGGACCTTGGACGTTTTTCCAACTCAAATCTTGGCTGGAAATCCTGGAGGGTAATGCTATAGAAAAAATGTCTATGATGCAGATGGCGTTCCATGTTCCCTTTGGCTAGGCGTGGATCGGAATGGTGTTCTCTCTGGTGTCTGTATAACGTAAGAAAGAGATTTCTTTCTGAAACTTCTCTACGTTTTATAATGCAGCAACGACGGCCTGCAGCTACCGAGAAAGCCATTGAGGAAGGGCCAGAATGAATGAGTAGAGTGTAGACCTTTGATCAAACGATCATAAGCTATAGTTTTCTCCAGGAAGAAGGTCAGAGGTCAAAGCGATCAGTCCTTATGCCTGGGCTGACATTGAAGCATGAACACCTCCCCTTGTCCTCCGCAAAAAAATTTCGATCACGGCGTGAAGTTCCTAAAGTTATTTTCTTCATTGAACTTGAATCTATCTCGTGTCCCTAACTGAATATTGTTTTTACTTTACTTGCTTGCTTCTCCAGATATGCCGCTCTTGAAAGAAAGTAGCGTAAGAAAGAAAGGAAGGAAGATGAATGTTTCTTCATAAGCAAGGGTCAAAGTTCTCAATCTTTGCGAGCTGGGATCACGTTGAATCGAAAATGGCTATTCAAACTTGGTTGCCACATTACTAAAAACTACATAGTGAGCAGCCTTCTCTGGCTGGAGCTCCACAAGACTATCAGCCAGTCCAAAAGCTTTGGTGGCATCCGAGTGAGTGCTACACGCACCCAAGAGGCTCATCCACGCCACAGAGTCAGGCTCCAAAGGCATGCCACCGATCAACTCCTTGGCCTCGCCCAGCTTCCCCATCCGCCCAAGCAGATCCAAAACGCACCCATAGTGCTGCGGCGATGGCACCGCCTGGTAATCCCCCATCATGGACGCAAACACCTCCAGGCTCTCCTTGAGCAAGCCACCATGGCTGCAAGCAAACAGCGTGCTCGTAAACGTGAAGTTGTCCGCGGCAAAGCCCTCGAGGCTGAGCTCCCGGAAGAGATCGAGAGCCTCGGCTGGATGCCCGTGCATGGCATTTGCTGCAATAAGGCTGTTCCAGCTTATAAGATCTCTTTTTGTCATCCGATGGAAAACAAGCTCGGCTTCCACCACGCTCCAGCACCGGCTATACATGTTGATCAGGCTGTTCGCAACCGTGACGTCCTGCTCGAGCTCTCCTCCCCGGATCCGGGCATGGAGCTTCCTCCCCGACGCTAAATCGCCCATGTCACCGCAAGCGTCGAAGATCCCGGAGAGAGTCACCTCGTCCGGCTTTGTCCCTTCAAAGTCCATGAGCTCCAGCGCTTGGGCTGCTCTGGATCCATGCCCGTGACGAGTATACGCGGCGATCATCGCATTCCAGGACGCCACATTCTTCTCCTCCCGCGAGTGAAACACCTTCTCGGCGTCCTCGAGGCTGCCGAGCTTGCCGTGGAGATTGAGCAGCGTGTTCTTGACGGTGATATGGCTGTCAAAGCCCAGCTCGAGTATCCTCGCGTGTAGTCCCTTCCCTTGGCGAAGATCTCCTAGGCCGGAGCATGCGTCAACCACGCTGATGAAAGTTACTTGGTTTGCATGGATGCCTTCCTGGTCGAGCCTCCAAAAGAGCTCCACTGCCAACTTGCAATGCCCGTTTTGGGCATATGCGGCGATCATCGCAGACCACGAGACAGGATCTTTTCTTTGAATCGCATCAAAGACATCTCTACTCTCATTCAAGCGGCCGATCTTGCTGTAGAAATTCAAGAGCGCGGTTCCAAGAACAGCATCAAGCTCGATCTGCGAAGCCAAGACCCTGTCGTGGATCTCTTTTCCCTGCTGAAAATCCAAGCAGGCACCAAGCGCAGTGACAAAAGTCACCCTATCCGGCTCCACTTTAATCTTGTCAAACAAATCCAACGCCTTTCCAAAATGCCGGGCTTGGGCATATGCTACAATCATCGAATTCCACGAGACAACGTTTCGTATGTACATTCCATCAAAAACTTCTCTTGCGAGATCTATAAATCCGCAGCTGGCGTACATCTTGATCAGCGAATTTGCCACCGCGATGTTGCTGGAGAAGCCGCCGCTGGAGAGAATTCGTTGGTGTGCGTGCTGGCCCTGCGCGAGATCTCGCAGCTTAGCGCAAGCGCCTAGCACGGCCACGAACGTCACCCCTGCAACCCTCACGCCCTCGCAATCCATGCGATGGAACAACACTAGCGCCTCCTTGCAATGCCCGCACTGGGCATGTGCTGCGATCATAGCAGTCCACGAGTAGAGGTTCCTCCGCTGAGCCTGAAGATCGAAGATCCGCTGCGCGTCGGCGAGGCTGCCGGATTTTCCATACATGTGGAGGAGAAGATTGGAGAGGAACACGTCGCTGCCCCGTCCCGACGCGAGGATGTGGGCGTGGATTCGCCAGCCGCTGGGGAGATCTCGCTCGCGGGCGCATCGCCTCAGCAGGGAAGCGTATGTTGCGAGATCGGTGTGATTGGTGGTGCTCTCTAGCTCCGCGATTGCTTCCTGGAGCGTTTGCGTGGATCTTTGTGCTGCCTGGAGAATCTTAGAGATTCCTGGGCGCATAAGAAGACTTCACTTGATTTATGTTGACAATATTTGACTTTCATTGACTTTGAATTTTTTGGCAAGGTCCATACAATCTTCTTTTTGTCAATGATAAAATGAGCTTACAATCTATAGGCTTGGTGAGGTATGCGTTTATGCCCATCTCCAAACTCCTCTCCTTCATGTGAGTAGTGAGTGCCACTATTGGGACATGGCTGCCACTGCCCTCCGTGGCTTTGCGGATTTCTCTAGTGGCACCATATCCATCCATTCTTGGCATCTGGAACCAAAAGTTCTCTCAAGGATCAGCGAGAACAAGAAAGATCTAGCTCCATACCATGAGAATGAGATTGAATGGCTTGCGCTCTTTGTCTACCACCACTTGATCTTTCAAGCTCCCCTTCCAAGCCTCCACTGCGGCCTGTCCATTGGCCACGGCAACCACAGTTGCTCCAAGTTTCTTGAGAAGAACCACCGCAACCTTTTGGATCACCAGCGTGTCTTCCGCAAGGAGTATGTGTAGCCCAAGGCTTGAAGATCTGTTCTGCTGCGGCCGGAACTTTGGGAGCTACTAGTGGTATTGCTGAGGAAACGCACGGAGCTGGCTGGATGTTTTCTGCCAATTCCACTTCTTTTCGTTCCTCGTCTTTGTATTCCGCTCTGTGGCTGATGTCCTGCAAGCCTCTGGTGCTGCTAAACCTGTCCTCGTCATCTCCACAGTGTGTCTTTTGAGATACGTGACTCGCAACTTCTCCAAGGATGAGGTCCATTTGCTTTGACAGTCTCTCCAGTGCCTTTGGGGGCTATTTGCCATACCAGATAGTGTCCTGTGCATAATCCAGTGACTTGAGCAGCATGAAAAGCTTGGACTTGTAAAGAGGCTTGTTGGCCATTTCTTTATCCTTATCTTCACCCATCTTAACACCAGGGGTTTAGGGCTTAGGGTTTAGAGGTGGTTATGACTTTATCCAGTGGAAGAATTGCCACCTCTCGTTTGGCGTGATTGCCACGGCCATCATCCCATCATCCCGTAGAGCGTGAAGAAGAGAAGGGGGAAGTAGGAGAAGAAAACGAACCATAAAAACTTTGCGGCCATCCACTCGAGTTTCATCATTGAGTAGACAATGCCTGTGTATGGAACTGCCTGAACAAAAACGTAGAATAGCTTGATGATCAACGACACTTTCAAGTAAGATTCTTGCCACCATACCCAAAGCTATGTAGCTTTACCTGAGCAAAGGCATAGGGGAGAGCTGAATACATTTCAGCAGCTTTTTCTCAGCTTGCTCTACTGAAACAACTGGTTGCCCACTACGTTGCAAACTCCCATGAAATACACGGCAGAATATATGGATCCCATGAGGTTGCAAAGTAAACATAAGCTTTGTGAAAAGCTCAGAATTAAAGCTTGTCTACCTCTTTGAGCCAACATCCCAAAACATGGTGCCAAACATGGGGGCAGCAGTGGGGGTGAAGAACAGACGTCCCAAAACATAGTAAGGATTCCTCCAGTAAGATCAGTGTTGCTTCCACAAGCAGGCCCCTACTTGTCTCGCAAACAAGAGAGGAAATTGAGAAGGAAAAAACAAGTCGACCGAACCTGGAGGAGGTGTGCGTAGATCAGCTGTGCCTGATAATTTATTGATCAGTCCCAAAACTCTCAGTGACAGAATGTTAAAACTTACTAGTAACTTGTAACTCTCAACATAGTTCCTATTGAGCCAATATTCTACATCTTCTACTACTCAAGGACAGTTATGGTGTGTCTCTAGCACACTCTATTGTTCTTTCAGATCACAAGCGGGCAGCCTCCACGTTACGAAGACAAATGCAGGCAATTATGGGCAGGAGGTGACTTCTTTGTGGGCTTCAGTGGACACAGTTATATACCCAAGCTTGTCCTGTGGATGATTCTCCAAAAACAACACAAAGAAGCAGTAGCAAATGGTGAGGACCTTCTGGCAAGGTTGAAGATGAAGTGGAGTGCTTCAACAACTCACCAAGGACATGGGTGAAGGCGCAGAGTTTATGGTGGTGAACAAGAAGACGATTTCTGCCTCTACCATCAAGCTACACCAGTTAGGCAACATTGAAGTTGAAACTGGGGACAAACTTGCAATCGGCGAGGGAGGTGTGGCCGCCATGGATTCCTTGCCACTGGATTTGTTCGAGATAGGCATCGAATCATTGTACACGGCCTACCAGAAAGTACCAAGCAGCTGTGGCGGCCCTGCAATCGTCCACCACTCCAGCGGACCAAAATCAAATTGGGAAAAAGGAATGGAAGTCCAAGTGATTGAAATGTTTGACAAGAAGAAGAGATCCTGGGAAGAGTACTTCAATGCCGAAGGAGCTCCACCATCCATGAGTGGTATGAGTATCTAAAGTGGAAGAAAAAACAATGTCCCTTGATGACTTGTAGTTTTTTCAAGGAACTGCAATATAAAGAGGACGTGTTAAGAGCTTTCTGCAAACAACTTCCATGGCCGAGCTGCAACACCTCCTTTGGTGAGTGCTGCTTTGATCATCTCGTCTTTTGCATCAACAAAAAAGCTGACCAGAATGATGGTACAATCTGTTTGATGAAAGTCACCCCATCAACAACGGTATTCAAGCTTGCTGGCTTCTTCCAAGAGCTCTCGAGGACAAGTTCCCGTCTCCTTGTCGATAGCTGCAATCTGCCTCACCAAATCCCACAACCGGCGATATGAGGCTGCGTAAGTGCGGGGCCACACCTCTGGCTCGGCAGCTACAGTTGAAAAGCACGATGAAACTTGGTCGTTTCCTTCACCCACACAGTAGGCCTGGAGCAAAAGGGAATGAGTCAAGGGAAAACTTAAACGAAGAGAATGGAAGAACCTGTAGCTGCACCGGCGGTGACGATGATCGCGCATGAAACTCTTCTCGATACTTTTTGTTCCGTCTCCTCCGAGCACGCTTTGTGAAGCTGCTTGGCCATACTGCATCAGGGTGCTGCTCGCCTCTCCATACATGCAGGATCATGTAACGCCCATTGTTGTGCTCCGGAGGGAAATACTCCGAACGTAAAAGTGTGTAGAGAATTTCGCAGCTGCGCTGGGAACAAGTCCTGCAAGCACACAAGCGTCATGTCATTATGTGGTGTCACTGGAGAGATTTCTCTGACCTGTTATACGTGATTACGTGCTTCCATTGCTCTGCGGTTGTGCTCTTCTGTGGCGGCCAGAAACTTGAGTGAGCATCTAAACAGCCTCAAGACAACATACCTCAAGCGGGTGGACAACGACAACATCATCCTCGGTGGGAACCGAGGTCAAGTAGTACTTCCTAAACCCCTTGAATTTCTTCCACTTTTCACACCTCCGCAGCAGCTCAAGCACCTGTGAGCATCAAGCAGCACTAGTAAACGAGTATTGCCATAGCTACGCTTACCCTGAGCTTCATATCATCGTCCACTTGACCGCTTTCTCGCACATCTCGCTCAGCTTCTTCTTCTGGCGGCTCTTGCGCTGCTAGGTGAGATGCCATACCTCCGTCCGGTGGAGCCGATCCGGCGAATTCTTCATCAGCTCCGGCGGGAAAGATGGCGCCAATTGCTCCCTCCATGTGGAACCCTAACCCTGACCACCCTAAGAGCTAAAGGAATTTCGAAAGTTAAAAGGAAAGTCCTTTTAGCATCGCAAGGAGATGATAGCCATCTTGCATGAACTCGTTAGTGATCCACAGCCTTATTCTTGGTATGGACGCAGCCGTCGCCTCTGACAAGTTCACATTTACGTACATGGGCACCTGAACGACACAGCCAAAGAATGTCTTCTGCGCAAAAGGAGAATAGAGAAAAGAAAAAGTGCACCTTGTTAGAGCGTAAAACCTCATGGTTGTAGAGAACTGGCCAATCTCGTTTCTCGGCTAGGAGGTTTGCAGCCTCCTTTAGAGAATGCAACGGTTTTATCTCGTCAAAGATCCATGAATACACCATCTGAGACAAGCGTTCGCCAGGAAATCAGCAGAAGAAGACCAATCATACCTCTCCCGTGAAAAGAACGGGCTCGCTATGTTTTGCAGCAAAGACTGGATCAAACTGCTCATCCAGTTCATCTCTTACTTTTTGTGCTGCCCAGTTTGATGCCGCACCCTGAAGCATGATCACGCTATTGGCACCTCCGGAGAACTGCATTTGGCCGACGTACCTGACAGTAGATAGGCTCGTGCATCAGTGCATTTAAAGGATTTGTATCGAAATCCAGCCAGTTCTCAAACTATACATGAAGTAGTGTTAAAATAAAAAGCGTTTGAGACAAAGGGTTGATAATATCCTACCGCTTGAAGAAATGTGTAGCTAAGATGCTTGCTAATGCCAGGTACAAGAACAGGATCCCATGCTCGCTCCCAACCTGAAGGAAATAAAAGAAAAAATAAATTATAGTGAATGAGGAAGAAAAACACAAAGAAAAGAAGGTAGGTTTTCAAAGCCAGAGATCCCAATCCTGTCAAGCCAAGCAACTGAAAGCTCCTTGGTGTGAGCTTGCCACACACACTTTATATAAATATAAATGGCAAGAAAAGATCGACTCACCCCCTACTTGCCAAGTGTAAAACAATCTCCCGGACGAGCTCTTCATCCTGAGGGAAACGCTGGTAAAACTTCATGTTTTGGAGCGGGACACGCTTGTAACAAGCACCATACACGGCCTCGGCAGTGCATCCAGCGTCAATAGGCGGCGTGAGTAGCACCTGCTCCAGGCCGGATGGTGCCATGCTTAGATAAGACACGGCGCAGTCATTGAATTAATCAGATTAAGCGTTAATTTGTTTACATCCGCGATGCTTCATCGTCTCTGGAAGTTCAACAACTCGATGCACAGGCCGAAGAAGATCGCGATTGTGACGACGAGACAACAACTTGATGCACACGCCTGCGACCACACCCAGGAAATGGCGCTCGTAGCCCAAGTAGTCTCTCGAAAACTCTTGCACTGGGCTCAACGACGTGGTGATATCCCCGAGCTGAGAAGTGATGATTCCATATAGAGTTCTTCCCGAGAAGAGGGAGGTTCCACAGCGTGTAGAATCCAGTGGAACAAATTGCCGCCACCCTCTTGTTGGGCGTGATTGCCACGCCCGTAGAGTGTGAAGAAGAGGAAGGGGAACAAAAATGTAGAATAGTTCGATGATCACCTGAAAAGGACAGTTTCAAGTAAGATTCTTGCCACCATACCCAAAGCTACCTGAGCATAGGCATAGGGGAGAGCTGAATACATTCCAGCAGCTTTTTCTCGATAGTATACATCTTGCTCTAATGAAACAACCCTGCTAAGTTGCAAACTCCAATGAGATACACGGCAGAATACATGGATCCATGAGGTTAAAGAGGTCTTGTGGCCTTTCCCTGCACCCTGGACAACGATTTTCACTCAAGCGCTTGTGAACATCAAGCAGCACTAGTAATAGTTACACATACCTTGCGCTTCATATCATCGTCCACTTGCATTTTTTTTTTGTAAGTTTACGCAAAGTCGCAGCATAGTTTTCAAGAAACTCCAGAAGATTTTTTTTGTCATTTTTCATAGACGAAACAGTGTGTTTTGTTTATATATATTTACGCCATGTCTCTTGTTCTTGCACTCCTCCTATCCTCTGCGCTGTCACCACCTCGCCTTCCAGGATCTGCTGGACGAGCTCTAGGAGATCCTTGCAGTAGCCGACCAGGGCAACCTTGGCGATGGTGATCGTAGAGCCAGAATGCCGCGTCTTAGAAGTGGAGCTTGTCGGATTTGCCACTCCCAATGATACGGAAAATAACCTTAAGCATCGTAGAAGTGGAGCTTGTCCGATTTGCCGCTGCCACGGATCCCCCAGATCTGGAAGATGACCTTGGGAGTCTCTTCTTTCCCCTGGTGGCTTGCAGCTAAAAAATCTTTTAACCCTAAATTCTGATACCAAAAGTTGGACTATTCTAGCTGAATCCTTCATTTGGGCAGCTCATTTCCAGCTGAGGCAAATGACCATGGCTGAGCGTCTTTCGGCTTTTTGGATCTTAGGCAATTAGGAGAAGCGACGAAGCTGAATGATGGAGCTTCGCACAGGAACAGGGCTTCTCACTTGTTAGCCTTCGTCTCAATTGTAAAGAAAATTTACGACCAGGCCATTGGTAAATACTCCAAGAATGGGTTTAAAGAACTTTGGATATATAAAAATATTCCCATCCAAAGGTTTTACTTGATCAATCATTTCCTCCATTCTCACTGTTCTTTACTCAATAATGAACCATTCAACTTTAAAAATAATTCTCTTAAATGATCCAGAGTTTACCTCATGAATGTACATATGTAATATAATAGTTATAAAACTAAGATAAATCAAAATACATACCTTGTAAATGAATACAAGGCTGTTGTCAATTCCTCAATGCAATTAAAATGCTATCCATTGTTTTCTTATTTGCATCTATTCAAGAAACTCTAAAATGTTTTCCATCAATCCAATATGTTGTATAACTCATGGCCTAAAATTTAAAATGAATTAATAATGGATTAATACTAGTTTTAATTTACCATAGTGGTGCATCTATTATGCAAATGTAAATTTTCAGAAACTTGTTAGTCTAGATGGTCAATAATATATTGCATTTTTGCATTATCTCTTTCAATTCTTGCTTATTGATATTTCTGAATAATAGGTTGCATTTCCTTTTCAAACATAAAAGTAAATATGTTCATGCTCTTTTGTATTAAGTTGAATTTGTTTTCTATATTCTGCAATTAAGTGCTACTATAATGAAATAGAGATATAAATTATGGAATACAAATAACTATTTAGCATTGTATAATAACAAACCTTTAGATATAGATATTTCAAGTTTTGCATTCTATTTTACAAAAAAATTTAAAAACCATAAATAATGCTTGATGAAGAATATATATTGGCTATCAGTATTAAATATTTATTTAAATTTAAATATAATATTTTATTTAATATTAATAATTAATTGAAATTAATTTATTTAATAGTCACAATTGTATTCAACTAATATTAAGACAGATTACTACAGAACAATTGACAACAGATATTATTTGGTTAGACAAAAAGATCAGATATAAAAACTTAATGGTAAAATTGCTAATAGCATTCTTAAAGGATCACATGCATATATTTAATAATGTTTCTGAAATTATATACAAACTATTACTGGTAAGAATGATGGATTAAACACTATAAAATACTTAGTTGCATGCAAAATGAAGAAAAATATATGGCCACAACATAATAAAAAGTTTGATCATGGGAATTACAATAACAAGTCATTAAAATAAATTATTTATTAATAGTATAAATGCTTTTAAAACACATATGGCATATGAAATTGAATTTTCAACATGTGGAGGAGAAGATTGGAAAGAAAGATGTTACTACCCTGTCCTGATGCAAGGATGTGGGCATGGATTTGCCAACTATTGGGGAGATCTCACTTGCAGGTGCATTGCCTTAATAGGGAAGCATATGTTATGAGATTGATGTGATTGGTATTCTTAGAATCTTTTTATGTGCCCAGGAATCTCCATCTCTTTGTGAGAGGGTTTAGGAAGCAATCACAGAACTAAAGAGCATCCATTTGAAGTTAACTTGACTTTATTTGACTTTATACAATGACTTGACTTCTTTGACTTTCACTTGGTTTATGTTGCCATTATTTGACTTACATTGACTTTGGAGTTTTTTTGCTAGGTCCATACAATCTTCTTTGTCAATGATAAAATGGTGGTGGCCATGAGCTTACAATCTATGGGCTTGGTGAGGTATGCGTCCATGCCCACCTCCAAACACCTCTCCTCGTCTGAGGACATCGCATGAGCAGTGAGCGCCACTATTGGGACATGGCTGCCACTGCCCTCCTCGGCTTTGCGGATTTCTCTAGTGGCACCATATCCATCCATTCTCGGCATCTGGAACCAAAAGTTTTCTCAAGGATCAGCGAGAACGAGAAAGATCTAGCTCCATACCTGGCAGTCCATGAGAATGAGATCGAATGGCTTGCGCTCTTCGTCTACTACCGCTTGATCTTTCAAGCTCCCCTTCCAAGCCTCCACTGCGGCCTGTCCATCGGCCACGGCAACCACAGTAGCTCCAAGTTTCTTGAGAAGAACCACTGCCACCTTTTGGATCACCGGCGTGTCTTCCGCGAGGAGTATGTGTATTCCCGTCAGCGAGGCCCGAGGCTTGACGATCTGTTCCACAGTGGCCGGAGTTTTGGGAGCTACTGGCGGTATTGTTGACGAAACACACGGAGCTGGCTGGATCTTTGCTGCCAATTCCACTTCTTTTCGTTCCTCGTCTGTGTATTCCTTGAGCTCCATCGCTCTGTGGCTGATGTCCTGCGAGCCTCTGGTGCTGCTAAACCCGTCCTCGTCGTCTCCACAGTGTGTCTTTTGAGATACGTGACTCGCAACTTCTCCAAGGATGAGGTCCATTCTTTTCGACAATCTCTCCAGTGCCTTTGGGGGCTCTTTGCCGTACCAAATAGTGTCCTGTGCATAATCCACGCTAGTGTTTCTGAGGCCAAGGATGCCATCTTTCCACTGGAGCCCGGGAATGAAGCAGAAGCTGTCTGGTAGAGTTCCTACCAGCGACTTGAGCAGCATGAAAAGCTTGGACTTGTAGAGAGGCTTGTTGACCATGATGGAGTATCCTTTGTCACGTATCCTCATCTTCACTGATGCTGGTGTGTCATGATTCAACACCCAGGATACCAGAGCACCTCGTTTGCTGAAGTTGTTTAGCGCGTTGAGGTGATCCGTAAGGGCCTCGAGGTTCGCTGGCAGTAGCCTCGTGTCCAGGACGACCAATAACTTTTTGCTGCTTTCGCTATCTGGAAGTTCCTTGTCCATATGCCCGATAAGGCTGTTCCAATCTTCAGTGCTGCTAACGTCGAGTCTCTGTTCGGCGACCCAGTCAGTCAGGAAAGACCTCAGCTTCATTCCTTTCATTCCAATAAGAACCTGTGTAACAAGTAAACCTGTCGACGACAATGTTCTGGTTGTCAGGATTGAGTTACCTTGAACTGGTTCATGTCAACAGGAAAAGAAGGCGATTGAGCCAAATGCGTGGTGTTATCTGGAGTGGATACTTCGAATGGAGAGTCGTACATAAGATAGAACCGCATCAAAGTTCCTGGCTCTTCCTTCTTCACAACCTTTATCTCTCCTCCCATTTTGCTAACCTGTTTGCTACTAAATCAGGAAAAGAGGCTCTTAAACGATATACAAACCAAAGAACGGACGATGCAAAGGCCAAGGCCGGTTCCTCCATGTCTGAAATACGAAACACAAACATTATCAGTGTCGTAAAATGTAAAGAAAGTCTGTTATACGTTCGACTTGTTGAAGTATCTGCTTGGACGAAACTATCGAACACTGTCTCCCATTTGCTTGGATCAATTCCTGCTCAAATAATTGTTATGGAGAAAATGTGTTCATGGGAACAAACTTACCACATCCAGAATCATCAACTTCAAACCACAAAAGGAATTTCTCAATGTGACCTCCTGACGCTTCCAACGGCTCGTATCGTGATACAAATGGTTCTGCCCAGCCACGTATTGTAATATACCCAGCTGCAGCACGAAAAGATTTTTGAGAACATCACAGTAAATCTTGGCTGGCTCACTAAGTACATGAAGTGAACTTGATTGAGTTGCCAATCAAATTCGCAAAAATCTGAACTGTCCTTGTTAAGTCCCCACGAACCATCTGGGGAACGTTATCTAAAAAACCAACAAGATTAATATACAAGCGAAGACTGCACAGACAACGTTTACCTGCGAGGTCGAGAACGATATCAATGTCAACGCATTGCACAGAAAACATGTCAATCACAGCTTCAAGTTCATGACGAATGTTAAAGTCGACCTTTTCAAGAACTAACTTTCCAGATTCCACCTGTCAAAAACAGATTCAATGCCGATTCTTGAAGCGCCAAATCTGAAAGCTACCTTACTCAAGTCCAGAATATTATTAAGGAGGCGTAGCAATGCTGTTGAGCAGTGCCTGATCTGAGAGACGATAGCAATTTGCTCCACTGTGAGGCATGCATCTGTAAGCAGTATATCCAAAAGACCAATAACAGCAGCCATTGGTGTTCGGAGTTCGTGGCTAAAATAAAAAAAAGTGTCAACAAAGATTTATCGAACATGTAGATAGAGCGTACCTCATATTAGCAAGGAACTGACTTTTGTAATTACTAGATGCTTCTGCGCGCTGCCTAGCATGAAGGTGTTTTATAAGCTCGGAACGAAGCTTCATCTCGGTGGATACTCCGCTTGTGAAAATAAGTATCAACAAGCATCCTACAACGAGGATGCTTATCGCCACCGAGACAAGGATTATGAGCGTGGTGCGGCCCCTGTCATCGACATCTCCCAAAACGTAGGATCGTGGCAGTAATATTACTCCGATCTGTAATGTTAAAGTTTGAGAATGGAGGAGCTTAGATAACCGGTTGCTTACCAAAGGCAGTCCAGTTAAATTCCAATAGAAGGAGTCGATATAAAATTTTTTCCCTCCGAGGACGACGTCTTCGGCATGAACCTCCTTCTGTTTAAGAATGCTATCGGTGTGATACTCTCGCAGCCACCTTGCACCATCTCTGATGACGGAATCTTGCGCGTCCACTGCTGGTGTCAACTTTGGCCCATGAGATAACACCCTCACAAGAGAATGGTTGCTGGATGACGCAAGTAGCAGACCATCGTAGGAAGTAAGGTAGAAAGATCCACTGTAGTTCCTTGCAAGGTCCTTCATCAGGTTGCTGATCCCCGAAAGTGCTGAAGTTACGACCACTGTTGCCATAAGTTCGTTTGTAACTGGATGTCTCACATCGGCCGCCGATGACAAGAGGCACTCGTTGTCCGTCGAGCCGACTGCTACGTGCCAGAACGTTTCGCCGGTCTTGAGGGTAGATACGTTTCCAGTGTAGTCACTGAAGTTCACCGAAGGTATGGAAACTGCCGAATCTATGGGCTGACCAGTAGAAGGATTCAGCTCTTCTTTGTACCACTGACCTGTTGTCGAGGCTTCAACAGATTCGAGAAACTCTGTACCCAAAGTGGAAGCGGCTGAGTTGTTGGAGAACAAGTAGTAAGTTTTGTTGTTCAGAGGATTCCGGTCAAAAGCCAGCAGCTGTCCGTTTGAATACAGAACGCTCAGCGTCTTCAGCGACTGGCGACTCGAGAACACCGCCCATGTAATGTTTCTCATCACCAAGTGCTGCGGCTGTGTGTAAGTCCATAAGACTGTAGCACGAAATGAAAACTGTTTTACCTGGTGGGACGGATGAGAACCATTTGGTGTAGCAGGAACACTTGAGGAGAAATGTTTCGGGATCATATAGTCGGACAAATTCGCCAGTGTAGTGGTAGCGTCCAGAGTCGTGCTTATCAAGTTCCATGATCTGGATATGGTCCTCTTTAGCAGCTCCACCCGCAAGCTGTAAGCCAGGCTCTTGATGGACTTCGTAGCGTAAGCTGTTGTGAAGTGCCAGGTCAAGATGGTGATCAAGCCGATCAGAATGGCGAGCATCAACTGCAAAAGAAGGACGCGTCAGACACCAAACTGATACAGTCACTGGCACTCTACTTACTGACCATGATCGCAATTCGAGCTCCAAAAACTCCATAGTAACTCGATCGGCATTTCTCGAGAGCCACGAGCGGGTTGCGCTCCACTCTGGCTCTCCTGAAAATCCCCGGTCTCCATTTCCTCAGCTTGGCTCTCTTCATGCACCTGGAGCACTTGGAGCACTCTTCCTTATCGTCGTTTTCGTCGTGATCAGCCACTTGAGCCTTGTCCACCACAACTTGGAGACGCTCGTCCATCCTTGCCGGAGATCCAATATACTAGTCTCGATTTTCGAGCTCGCGCGAGAGAGTCCTTCACAGGAAACTGGAGCTCAGCTTCCTCCTCAAAAAGAAAGACCACCACGACGTTCCTTTCCTTGCTTGTCACTCGTACCAGCAGCTGTAAGGACTGTACACACAACAACACAATAAGAAAGAATTTTCCCAGTGAAAAAGCTTCGCGCCTCTTCGAGGGTCAATGACAAAGACGCGCAGCTCAATCAGCATTCGGGCATAGCAAGAATCGCAAGGATCACGCAATCGATGCATATATCATCCACTTGCAAGGCCAGGACAGAGCAAATCTCGCAAAGAAGCCCGCATCATAGAACGAAATCCATGATAAAAAAATGCCAGATCTCCCGCAAGAGCGCAGGCGCTCCACTAAACTATCCCTCGCGACAGCGATCTGGCACGCGATTCTTACCGTGGGGAGGATCAAAGCGCCAAGCGGCGGCTCGTGGAAGCGCACCATCGCCCTGTTCCCTGCCAGCTAGGGTTCTAACCAAGTGGAGGGAGATTTAAAATGGCTAAAGCTGTGATTAGACTAACGTATAATTAATATTATCACCCATGTGCTCCACTTATCGAAGATTATTCTTTTGGCGCTTGGATGGAGGACGTGTTAACGAACTCTTGTTACATCTGATGTCGGCCCATAACCTGATAAGCTTGTTTAAGCACTGATGGAGGGACGAAGAGCTAACGTTAGATTCCATAGAGCTTTCACACAAATTAAGTTCTTTGTTACCTCCAAGCTTTCCAAAGATCTCTTTAACTTGCAGTGATATCAAAATGGTCTCGCCAAAACTCTAAGATAGATCACTTGGTAAAAGGAAAGAAACAAAGTTAAGTCACACAAGAGTGAAAGATCACCTTGGATCGCTCAGATTTGTACCGCAAAGTTTCGGAGAATGCCCAGCATCCTGTTCGCCAGACCATTTTCCTCGTACTTCCATCTACACTCCAAGCTGGCCTTGCGTTTCAAAGCGCCATCTTCTTTGCAGAGCTTCCCGCAGAGAAAAGAGACCTCCAGGCTGCGACACCTCACGCAGTTGTCCTCCAGAGTGAGCTCTTTGATCCAGCTTACAGCTTCCGAGTAGACGCTGGTCATGAGCTTCGAGAGTCTTCGCTAGTAGGAGTGAAAACCTGCTGTGATTCCTCCGGCGAGCCTGCTACCGGGACTTCGTTGATGTCGAGTAAGAACTTTTGGTCCTTGGGATGCTCGCTCTCGGTCTCTGCTTCTTCCGGCAAACGCTCCAAGTCGAGGCTTAAAGTCCTTTTCAAGTCCTTCCGGACTCTCTTGCTGGATGGTTCTGTCGCTGCATCGTGGGATTGCTTTCCTGCGGCTTCGCTTTCCTCCTCCTCCAAGATGATCTCCACCTCACTGCTAAAGGATATGTCGTGCTTCGGCTCACCCAGAACTGATGGAACTTCGAAAGGATGGACCAGTTTGATCTTGGACGAGTTTGTAGTAAGCACAATTCCTTCCACAGGAATCCCCGGCTTGCATCTGTCCGAAGTCATGGAGTCTTCCATTGCCGACTGTGTGCTGCTGTAGTACGAACTCATGCTTAAAGACACAAGCTCTTTGGAGGCTTCGACGTTGAAGAGACAGTGCGAAGGTACCTCGACGACATCGTGGTTGGCGGGATTGTGGCACGGTATCCCGAGCTCATTGTTGATCCGAGCCTTCAAAACATCCATCTTGAGTTTCTCCCCATGGACGAGGATGACGTTGTGAGGCTCGACTTGTCTCACAAGATCCATGATGCCTTTAGCGTCCGTATGAGCACTAAAAGCGAGCAAATGTATCTGCGTCAAACACAAGTTAGTGCTCTATTTCTTAAAGAGAAATTAAGATATTCTAACCTGGCATCGAACATCTATTGTCGTTCGCTTGTCCACTTCTACCCGCGTGGGCTTTCCGGAACATAACTTTTGTGCCACAGTTCCCGCGAGACAAAACCTGGTCCATCACCTTTAAGCGCACCAACAAAAATAAAAAAACTATTCAAAAAGCAAAACCAGACCCGGGTATGATGAGAAGATTCTGCTCTACAGGAGCCCAGTGTTTTAGAACTTCCAAGGACAGTCCGCCTGTGAGCATCCCGGGCGTAGCAAAAAGTATACACGGTCCGGGGCCATCCAGTTGCGTCCGATCAAATGGAAAAACTGTTAAGTTTGATGTTAGAAAACGAGCACGAAGAACTTGAAGGTTCCTTCTTACCATGCTTGAAGTCAAAAGCATTGCGAGTCACGTAAGTGTCTTTAATTCTCTGATTTGTCCAGCTTATCAGGAGTTTATAGTACGCGTTACTCTGCATCGTCAATCCTAAGAGTGATGTCAAGAATGGCACACGAAATTAATGCAAAAGAAAAATCGTACCGGCAGAAAAGTAGATGGGAACTTTAAGATTCATGCGTTCCCAGTACTCGTCCAGAAGTATGCACAGCTCCTGAAACCAACGATATGATACTGTCTGAAATAAATCATAAAATACCTGAGCTCTGCCGAGGGCCGAAATAGGTATGAGCACTTTCCCACCTTTGCTGACACAGGTATGTACCTACCATCGACAAATGCTGTATAAATGCTGAAAGAAATGAGGCTCTTTCACATACCACGTTGAGAAACTCTGCTTCTTTAGCCAGCCTCGATTCACGAATAGTTGTAGCATAAGTCGATCTGCAGACCAAAATGAGAAGCGTGAAAGAGAACTCGATTGCCATACTCGGTGATCAGTAAATCCGGCTTCAATCGGTCTATCTGAGCCGCTCCAAGATGACGATCCGGAGTCATGTTATAGTCACCCGTATAAACAACTGTACTGTTTCCGGCCTTCACATAAAACATAGCAGCTCCAAGAACCTGCAAGCAAATGTAAGAAAGATTTTCTTCTTCTTTTAACTTCTAAAAGTTTAGCGGGCTACATGTCCAGCGTAGTAAGCGCGGAACGCTAGATCCCTGCTAACTCGAATCGTTTGCCTCAAGTCCACAGCAATGACTATAGTTCGAGCACGCATTAGCAAAACCAACTGTGTTGAAACTGCACAAGAATGAATACCTTTCTTCATGCATTGCTGAATGTGAAGCGTCGAGAACTGTTCTTCTTCCCCTCTTCTATCAACCATAATTTTGCGATAGTCTTCCAGCATGATCGGAGCCAAAGCTTTTGTTGGATACTGCAGAATAGAAATAGAGAGAATCCTTTTACAGGACAAACACAACTTACAGTCATATACACAGGTCCTTCGTAACCACAAACTTCAGTAAAATATGGTAGAGCTCCAACATGATCCAAATGGCTGTGATCACAAACATTGAGCGTATCCACAAGAACCAAAAAAAAAAAATAAAGAAAGAAAGCTACTTACAAGTGTGTGACGATGACGCAGTCGATTTCGTGAGTAAAATCCCCGGTTTTGGAGATCTGCGAGAAATCTGGGAAGCGCCGCTCGTCTTGATATCCCATATGCATCCCGCAATCGAACATTATCTTCTTTCCTCCCATGGACACAATTACACAGCTCTTGCCCACATCCTGGCCGGCTCCTGGATCAAAATCCATGAAGAATCCACCAAAGGAGATAAAAAATCTAACAGCGAGTCCGAGCTATGCCGCATTCGATCGCTTACCGAGGGGAACGCACTTGATCGTCATGGAATCGATCGTTTCCGCGCAAACGAATTTGCATAAACCCTAAACCAAAACCCTAGCTAAGATGGGCCACGTCACGCCATATACTTTGTGGCGCGCGTTTGATGAGCTAGGCTATGGCGAGCGCTGCGATAGGTCTGAATCCTCTTCCCAATCTCTCCCGGACGCCTCCACTCTCTTGCGGCGGCGCGGGCCGATTTTGCGCATCGAGAGCAGCTCTGTGGCAGCAAATCGATGGCAAATGCGGTGGATTGAGGGCTGGATTCTTGAAATGTAGCAGCAGCAGCGAGATTACGACCGCGACAACGCCCGATTCGTCCGAGGAGGAAGAAGCTGGGGGTGCTGGGAGCTGGATACCGGTGGTTCCATTCGCGACTTTGCCGAGAGGAGAGAGGAGGCTTGTGAGGCAGGAGAATGAGACGATCTTGCTGCTGTGGTACAAGAACGATGTGTACGCTGTGGAGAACAAATCGCCGGCGGAGGGCGCCTATAGCGAGGGATTGATCAATGCGAAGCTCACACCAGTAAGTATCTATGCATTGGGAGGGAGGCTTCATTGCGTGCGTTCCATTTGCATCGATCATAGCATAGAAATTAGTCAAAGAGTTATCTTCAGGGATGATCGAGAGAGAGAGATGCACTGCATTGTCGATTTAAGTAACATCTCCTAGAGTTTCTAGTCAGATCATCGTGAGGAGATAAAAAACAGTTTTCAAGGCTACGAGAGTCCAAAGCTTTTATCATGCACGATTGCAAGAGAGAAACATCGACTTTGCCTTGAAAGGTCGCTCTAAACTTTGTTCTTCCTTGTGCTACTTTGTTCCAGGATGGCTGCATTGTTTGTCCCTCCACTTCATCAACGTTTAGTCTCCAGACTGGAGAGATCAAAGACTGGTACCCCACGAATCCAGTGATGAAGCTCCTGCTCCAGCCGACTAGAAATCTCGTCACATACCCCGTCAAGATCGACGGCGACTACATCTACATCAACACGCAACAGCAGGCAGAGGACAAGAAATCCACCGAGATCGTTTTCAGCGGACCGACATTCGCGGGAAGAACAGCCTCGGATGTTAACATCGAAGAAGTAAGCCTTTCTCGATTCCAAAGTTCCAAGGCGAAAAGAAATCTCTCTTTTCTTCCACAGGTTCGTATGGTGGTGGAGGACGAAAACAAGCGGGTGTTTGGATTCACGCCGGAGAACGAGATCACAAACGGCAGGGCGGCGATGATGGGCTTCTCGCTGCTGCTAGTTTTCGAGCTCGTCACTGGCAAAGGGTTCTTGCGAGGAACGGGATTCCTCGATTTCCTCTACCAGTTCTTCAAGTGATAAGAGAGAGCTATGTGAATAGATCGATCGATCGCGCTCGGTCACGAATCATCCTAGTCGTTTCCATACGCGAAAAAGATAGAAGATAGAATTAATTACTACAACACGATTTGCCGCGAAAAGGTTTAAATTTAAAAAGATTCATGAATCTAGGGCACTTTAATTAGGGCTGGCATCGTGGACGTTTCCCGTCCATGTCATTGGCGGAATTCCAAACGGCCTGCCACGCGGATAAGCTGGTGTTTGTGTTCTTGGAGAAGATTGCCTTTACTTCGCGCTGTGAGGGCTTTAGGTTTTCAAAGGGGGCTGCGATGGAGGATAGGCTTTAAAGGGAGGGGAAAGAATGGCGGTGGCGTGCGAGAGCAATCCTAGCTGCTTGGCCGCAGCAGGGAATTCGTCGTCGCCATTGCCATCAAGGAGGCAATCGCTATTTGGCTGGAGGCGGTGGCAATGTAAGCAGCGCAAAGATTTGGGGTTGAGCCTGCGGCGGTCGAGAATGGGCGGATTGTGCCGTAGCGGCGGCGCGGAGGATGGCGATCAGCCGTATGGAGTTCCAGAGACGGCGGTGCCATCGCAATGGGACGTGGTGGGATTGGGACAAGCTATGGTAAGCGGCATTGCCAGGGTTTTGCTAGGGTTTAAGCATGCTTGGTTTGTTTCTTTCTTGAAGTTCCCAATGCTTCTTTTCTCCAGTGCTACACCTTTTCTTCCCTATCCATTGGCGTACGCATTCTCTTCCCTGTGATTGCTATCCATTCGCGTAGTTTTCTATACACTTCATAGAATTCTTGTTATTGTTATCCTTTTTCTCATGTTCTCTTTTTTTCTATGTAGGTGGATTGCTCTGCTATGGTTGGCAATGACGCTCTCGAGAGGCTGCAACTAGAGAAAGGAGTGAGAACCGTTATCGACCACGAGCAACGAGGCAAGGTTCTACAGGCTCTCGACGGCCGGAGCTACAAAGTCTCGGCTGGAGGCTCTCTCTCGAACACACTCGTCGCATTAGCGAGGCTCGGGACGGGAAGGATCAACGTAGCCATGACTGGGAGTGTCGGCAAAGATCCATTAGGCGATTTTTACAGGTAAGTTCTTCGGGCTCGATTTTTATCTCTTACTCACTGTTGTGTGGGTTTTCTTCGTCAGAACAAAGCTCTTACGTGCCAACGTACACTTTCTATCATCCCCGATGGTCAGGGGCACGACTGGAACAGTGATCGTTCTCACAACACCGGATGCCCAGCGAACTATGCTTTCCTACCAGGTGAAAAAAAAAAGAACCATTTTTTGTTGTTGTTAGATCCTTGAAACCACAGGGCATGTCCTCGGTGATTGAGTACGACCAAGTCCTCGCCAAAGCTCTCTCCGCCTCGAGGCTCCTGGTGGTGGAAGGCTACCTCTGGGAGATCCCCCAAACAATCCAGGCTCTCTCTCGAGCTTGCCAGGAGGCTCGCAAGGCCAACGTCCTCGTCGCCCTCACTGCCAGCGACGCCTCGTGCATATCTCGTCATCGCGATCAATTCTGGTACACAAAAAAATCACTCTTTTCCTCTCTTTTTCACCGAGAGCTTGTTTCCTTCTCCCCAGGGACGTGATGGAATCCAGTGCCGACATCCTCTTTGCAAACAGCGACGAGGCCCGAGCTCTGTGTGGATTTGGATCGAGCACGAGTCCGAGCTTTGCCGCGCAGCACCTCAGCCGCTACTGCAAGCTCGTGTCGGTGACCGACGGCGCGAGAGGATCTTACATCGCTCTGGCGGGCTCGGTCGTCTACGTCCCTCCATCGCGACGCTGCAAGCCTGTGGACACTTGCGGCGCCGGGGACGCGTACGCTGCCGGGCTGCTCTATGGGCTGCTGTGCAACGCCCCCAACTTGCGGGGGATTGGGAGCTTGGCGGCCAAGGTGGCGGCAATGGTGGTGAGCCAGCAGGGGGCACGGCTGAGGCACGAGGACGCGAACCAGCTCGCCATGGAGTTTGCGCTCCAGCAACAGCAGCAGCAAGCATCGCCGCCAGAGCTCAAGGTCAGGAATGGTGATCTTGAGTCTGGAACTGGCGCCAATTTGTAGCAACTCATTGAGTAAATCTTTGAGAGCTGACCTCTCTTTTGATCCAGCTCGCCAAGGATGGTAGGGAAAATGGCCGTCCCTATAGCTAAAGTGTTACGGCCTTCCAATCTTACTCTTGCTCAGGAAGCGATGCTCACAATCTCATGAACTGCCACGGAGAGATAATGATTGGAAAGCAAACGTAGTACTGCTGAATATGTGCGTCAAGAACATGAAATGTGTGATTGTGTTGACTTCTTCAGATTAAATAGTGATATGAATGATTTTATTGTTGTAATCGCTTTTTTTTTTTCTTACACCTCTGTGAAATTCGACTGCAAAAAGCTCAAGTTATCAAAATGACCAAGCTGGTGATTGGAAGTGAGCGGCCATAACATATTAACCCAAAAAGCATGTATTATTATTCTCCAGTGCTTCGCATTTTCTTCCCTGTCATTGCTATCCATATTCTTGGATGGAACTCTTCCTCGAGCTCAAAAGAGATAAAGATTTACTCATTGAACGAGAGAATGCTACAAATTGGCGCTAGTTCCAGACTCAAGATCACCATTCCTGACCGTGAGCTCCGGCGGCGATGCTTGCTGCTGCTGTTGCTGGAGCGCAAACTCCATGGCGAGCTGGATCGCGTCCTCGTTGCCTCAGCCGCACCGCCTGCTGGCTCACCACCATGGCCGCCACCTTGGCGCAAGTTGGGGGCGTTGCAACCATAGAGCAGCCCAGCAGCGTATGCGCGCGTTCGCTAGAGATCTTCGGATCATTGAGTGGCAGCAAGTGACGAAAATCCATGGAAAATTGGGATAGTCGAGTGCAGAAACGTGAGTAGCGGAGTTCTGGGATGGCAGACAGGATCGCAGAGCTGTCTAATCGACCTGAGGCTTGGCTCCGAGCAGGATTTCTCGAACAAGAGTCTCGAGAATGCCGAGAGGGCACCAAAGTTCCAGCTGGAAGGCCCATTTTTCCTCCGAGAAGGAAAGAGTTCTCATGGAACTTCATGACTATAGCCATCCTGGAGTGCACTTTTAGAAAACTCATTGTCCAACAGGTAGCTTGTGTATTCTGCGAGTGACCATTTGTTTCAAAGTTCATAAGCATTGATGGTTTCTTCTATATCGTACAGGGAATTAAGGAATAGTAGCATGTTTTGGAAATTCGTCACATTTGGCAAGTGCATAATTGATATATAATTAACATGTGAACCATCATTTCAAGCTATGAGGTACTTCCTTCTTCTCTTCTTTTTTTATGTTCAGATGCAAATATAACTAAAAATTGCCTCAGGTCTTTTAGAGATCTTTTTTATGACTCTATTTCTTGAAGTTTTCACTTCACCAAATTGAAACATTTGAGAATTCCATCCTTGAAAACACATATTAATTGCAATGTGCACTCAGTATAATATCCTTTTTCATGGCTCAAGTCTTGTGGGGAACCTCTCAGGCTTCTTATCTTGCTTTGGGAAGTCATGCTCACTAGATGAATTGTTATGGAGATAAAGGTTGGAAGTTTCAACAAAATTTGCTATCAGTGTAAATCTTTGGTGGTAGTAACAAATATTAAAATGAAAGTGGAAAGGGTTCCATGTGAATAGCAATTAGACATGGGTTAATCGATCCTAAGAAATTAAGAAATCCTGTGTGAAGGGTGCAATGTGTGGTATAGAGTACTGCTGGATGAGTGTGTCAAGGACATTGAAAATTTTGTGCATAATTCTTAACAATTTCTTAATCTGTTTTACACTTATAAATTAATTATAACATGTTTAAAAACATCTGCTTAAATCGGTTGCTTTTGAGTTTAGGGTTCCTCGTTTCACTGCATTTTGGGGCCGCGCTTCTGATCATGAATCCCGAGTAGTAAGCAATTTCTTCCTTTCTGTTCGAGGATTCTGATCTTGAATCGCAGTGACTATTTGTTCAAGCTGTTGCTGATCGGGGATTCTGGTGTTGGAAAGTCGTGCTTGCTTCTGAGATTCGCTGTAAGCTCATATTCTCGCGAATGCTTCTGAATGGGGGATGGATTGTGGCACAGGACGATTCTTACCTGGAGAGCTACATCAGTACGATTGGAGTAGACTTCGTATGTATGAGAGGATTCCTTGTTATTTCATTCTGGAAATCTTTTCTCAGAAAATTCGCACCGTGGAGCTGGATGGGAAGACGATCAAGCTCCAAATTGTAAGCCAGAAAGGACTTTACTTCTTCGCTTATGTTCTTCCATCTGTCAGTGGGACACGGCTGGCCAAGAACGTTTTAGAACGATCACGAGCAGCTATTACAGGGGAGCTCATGGGATCATCGTAAGTTCTCTTGTTTCTTGCCAGATCCTTCTCGATTCTTTTTTAAAGTTCTCGATTTGTTCCTAGTTCTTTCTAGTCTTTCCTTGCAAGTTCTTATCTTCTCGACTCTTTGTTTTCTCAGGTTGTCTATGACGTGACCGACCAGGAAAGCTTCAACAACGTCAAGCAATGGCTCAACGAGATCGATCGCTACGCGAGCGAGAACGTAAACAAGCTTCTCGTCGGCAACAAGTGCGATTTAACTGCAAAGAAAGTCGTGGATTATCAGACTGCCAAGGTGACAACTTCTGTTATTCTTTCTTTCTACTGTACAAAGTAAAAATCTTTTCTTCGTGACAGGCCTTTGCGGATGAGATTGGAATCCCGTTTCTAGAAACCAGCGCCAAGAATGCTACCAACGTTGAGCAAGCTTTCATGACCATGGCTGCCGAGATCAAAAACAGGTACGTTGGTGTTTGATCTTCTCTCTTTCTTTTTCTCGTTTTCTCTTCTTTCGCGTGTAGAATGGCGAGCCAGCCGTCGATGAGCGCTGCAAAGCCCACCACAATCCCACTCAGAGGACAGGTTTTGCAGCACAAGCCAAACTGCTGTTCTTGAGCACCTCCGCGCTTTGTAAAGTTGTAAATTCTGGAGAAAACATTTCGACTTGTTAGCTACGCTGAAAAGAATTATTTGCAAATAAACTTACTTCATCCAACGTTCCGATCAATCAACCTGTCCAGAGTGATAAACAAAACTCCCTGACTTACTTGTGAAGCACTTTGTACAAATCCTCCCATACACGCTGTGGCTGGCTCTCGCTTAACGACCTGGAAGCTCTCTCCAAGTTTTCCAAACCACGTCCCAAGCGCGCCACGCTCGGAGCCGCCGGAGCCACCTCGATGGCCGACTCAAGCCTGTCACCGCTCCACAAAATCCCAGCACCAGCCGCTACACTTCCTCCCAGCACCAGCCATGGCCTTCCACCACTCGACATCCCTTGCTTCTTCCTCATCAGGCAGTAAAACGCTGTTCGAATCGCCGATAGCGTCGCTCGCTCGGCAGTAGCCACTACGCTGTGAGCAGCGGCTCGAGCCTTCCCGGCACTGGCAGCAGATTTCACCACCGCCGAGAAAGCCTTGCCTGGCGTGAGGAGCGGAGTGACCGACTTTGCGAAGACAACCGTCGCGTTTCTCTTGATCTGAACGAGCCCGAGCTTGACGAAGGCCGGGGCCTTGAGAACTAGAACCTTGGTGAAGGGAGTCGTCGCAGAAGCCCACCAGGGGAGCGAGGCGATCCCGACCACGGCCACAGCACCACCGGAGCCAACTATCTTCTTCTCTAAGTTTTCGTCACCATCATCATCGCCAACTTTGTCGAATTCCACTACGAAGCACTCACGGGCACGGTCTCGGACGTCCGGAGCCACGGCCGTGTTCCACTGCCGGCGAATGCCGGCTATGCTGCTCGCGTCCACCACCGCCACCACCGAGCCGTGAGCTCTCGCTTGCTCCTGGAGAGCCTGGGCGAGAAGAACGTCACCTTGATCCGCCCCAGACATCTCCTCAAACTTTGGAGCTTTCCGGAAGCGTTTGGTGCTACTGTCGGATCGAGAACCAGCGGCAGCGAGTGCGATCCGAAGACCCTCCACCGCGAGGCGAAACTTTTGAGCCCCGGCGAGCTCGGTTTGATCCACAGGCCTTCCCTGCTCGACGTCAAAGAGCAAACTCCGTGCATGCGCCAGTGCCGTGTTCATCCCCGGGAGCTCGCGGTACGCGTCGTGTAGATCGACCAGGAGAGCGTAGAACGACGAAGCATAGGCCGGAAACTCGCGAGAGTCGCCATGATGTCTATCACCGTTTCTCAAACTCTGGCACAAACTTAGTCCCTGGAAACTCGAGGATGCATCGTAGACTCTAGCAGCAATCTCTGGTGAAACCACCATTTGCCCGAAGCGAATCCGCCCAGCGTCACTCTTTCCCGCGTCGTTCTTCCCTGTGCTCGGCGTCTCGAGGAAAAGAAACGCACACCTAGCCTCCCTCGCAGCATTCTTAGCGCTGAGAGCCGGTCCGTGATACGTAGTTCCAAAGATGGATCGCAACACTTCCACTCCTGCCTTGCTATCGAAGCTCTTGCGCTGCGAGCTATCTAAGAAACAAGCCCCGATCACCGCCAGAGAACTCGTTGGAATCCTCTCCTTGCCACTCTCCTCCTCCGATCGAAGACCCGCGAGATCTCCATTTCCTACCTGTGCTACCACCGCTCCCGGCTTAATCGCGCGCACGACCTCCACGGCATCCAGCGCCGATCGCTCGGAAAGAGCCTCGGATGCGAGCAAATAGACCAGACCTGGCGGTGCCCTCGTCGATTGAGTACCCGGCGTCTTGAGCAGCGTGACAAACCTGCGCGTGGACTCTGCGATCGCGGCCAAATCGCCGTCGCCACCGGCTGGATCGGAGCGCCAGAGGAGGCGGCCGAGCCATGGAATCGGCCAGGGCGCCATGGGAGCGCGCTCATCGCCATTGGACCTCCATTACAATCCTATCTAGGGTTTATCCGAAGAACCCTAATTTTCGCATTTGGGATTCCCTGGGAATCTATTTCACTTCGCGGCTTGGATCGTGGCCACGAAATTCGATGCCGCGAACGCGGCCGATCCTCCCAGCACGGACACCGCCGCCACCACGGCCTGGAGCACGACGAGCGGCACCGAGTTCTCCGGGACGAAGTAGACGAAGGCCGGGCCGAGGAGGAGCAATGCGAGCGCGGTGGTGAGGAGCGCGCCGGGCGTGGATGGATCCGTGGCGGCGGACAGGACGCCCAGCTCCTCGGCCTTGGAGAGGAGCCCTAGCTTCTCGATGGAGGAGAGCGTGAATCCCAGGTTCTCGGCCGTGGAGAGGAGGCCGGCTTTCTCGGCCTTGGTGAGCAGCCGGAGCTGCTCGATCCGCGAGAGGAGCTTGATGTTGGGCGAGTCCCCGGATGCCTTGTCCCGGAACTTGGCGGATTTGTCACCGATCGACAGCACCTTGGCGACCTACAGGAGTTCCAATCCATGAGAATGCTGTTCGTGAGCAAAAGAAAATCACTCTTTCGATGGATGGGATGGATGGAATGGATTCCTCGCTCGCTATCGTTCTGGATCGATTGCTCCCTCGCCGCGCTTGGATTGGATCGCGCTTACTCGAGAATTTCACTCTGGGATTGTGGATTGGATCACTTACTCTTCTCCTGATAGTACGATATCCCCCGGCTCCTCCTCCGGCGATCGTCCCAGCGGCCGCTCGCACCACCAATCTTCGATTCCGGCAGCTTTGCGATGGAGGAAGCGCGACGCCGGGGCGAAACATCGCGAGATTGGACGAGAGCTTCGCCATGGAATCGGCCATTGCCCTCTCTCCCGCCACACCTTCTATTGTGTGGCTCTCATGCCTCTAGCGCTATAATTCGAGATTATTCCATGGAAGATTCGTCTCTTTTCATGGTGGCATTGTTAGGGTTTATAGAGGCTACAAGGCGCTAGCGTCCAGATCGATGCAACACAGTAGGCCTAGCAGATCTACAGGCGAGCTACTCGGGGTCGATCGAATCCAATGCTGTCAGCTTGCCAATAGTACTGTGGGGGCGATTGGCTGGAGTGATTCAAGCGGGGGATTTTGGCGTGCGCGATGATCCAAATTCTGGGGCTTTGTGAGGGTCGCAAAGGGACGCGATTGGCGACGGATTGGAACGCGGCTGCGAATGGATGCCTAGGACTTGCCGCGCTCCTCGGATCGTCACGCCATGGATCTATTTAGAAAGCCGCCAAGCGCGTTCTAGCAGCTCCGCCGCGGGGTTTTGGAGATGAATTCCTGTAGCAAGGCGATTCTCAAGCCCTCGAAGGTGAGATTCCGAGTTTCTTGAGAGATTTCTTGCGTGATTTCTTTATCGCGATCCCTTCTTCCAGGATGTGGTGCCGCTCAGCACCTGGATCCTCATCTCCAAGCTCAAGGTGGAGTACATGCTCACGCGCGGCGCCGACGGATCCTTCAACCGCAACCTCGCCGAATTCCACGATCGCAAGGCCAGCGCTAGCCTCGCCCCACACGACGGCGTCGCGTCCATGGACGTGACCATTGATCGCTCCTCCGGCCTTTGGTCCCGGATCTTCCTCCCCGCCATCGCCTACGCCCAAGAAGAGCAAGAAAATCGCGACGACAAAGTGCCCATAATCTTCTACTTCCACGGCGGCAGCTACGCGCACTCCTCCGCCAATACCGCGCTGTACGACATGGTGTGCCGCCAGCTCTGCCGTACGTGCCGGGCGGTGGTCATCTCCGTCAACTACCGCCGGGCGCCGGAGCACCGCTGCCCGGCGGCGTACCGCGACGGCCTGGCGGCGCTCCGGTGGCTCCGGCTGCAAGCCGCCCGGCACGTTGCTGCCACGTGGCTACCGCCGGGGGCCGACCTCTCGCGGTGCTTTCTAGCGGGGGACAGCAGCGGCGGTAACATGGTCCATCACGTGGGCGTCGCGGCGGCTACCGCGCGGCACGAGCTCTGGCCGGTGCGCGTCGTTGGGCACGTTCTCTTGATGCCCATGTTTGGCGGTGTGGAGAGGACCGCGTCCGAGAGGAGGCTGGACGGGCAGTACTTTGTGACGGTCAAGGACAGGGATTACTACTGGAAGCTCTTCTTGCCCGAGGGGGCGGACAGGGATCACCCGGCTTGCAACGTTTTCGGGCCCGGCTCGGCCGCGGAAAGGGTGCTCGGGGAGATTCCAGTGCCAAAGTCGCTGGTGGTGGTGGCGGGGCTGGATTTGACGCAGGACTGGCAGCTACGGTACGCTAGGGGGATGGAGAGATCCGGGAAGAGCGTGGAGGTCCTGGTGCTCGAGGACACGCCAGTGGGTTTCTTCATCTTTCCAAACACCGAGCAGTACTACCGGGTGATGGACAAGATCCGGGGGTTTGTGCGCGACGAGGAGGAGCCCATGGATTCCTCGACGTGGAGAGATTCATCGCTCGCTCGCCAGGTACTTCCAAGTTTGTGTGGGTGTTTTCCTTGGATTGATCTCTTGTGTAGGAAAGAGAATAAGAACACGACCTGAAAGAAGAGGAGACTTGGGATCTCCCGCTTTCAAGCTTGTTCCAAGACTTGGAACCTTTGTTTTGGTAGCTTCCAAAAAGAAAGAAAGTATAGACGGCGCAGATTGTCGCCATCCAACGCTCCAGATTCACAGACACTGTGTTCGTCACGCTTTCGCGGGCGCCGTGTTTGTCTACAACAAGATGTACGCCGGATTGAGGCAAAACAAGCGTTCCATAAGACTCTGTCTGCTAGTTGCGTGGGATTTTGAGGAATCCACGGATGCTCGCAGCATATGCAGTCTAAGGTATATCTTAATTAGAGAGAATATTTCACGGCCAGGAGGATATTCTTTCTCTTGCCGACAGGATATTCGACTCTAGGCACAAAAATATTCTTTAGACTTTGATTCTCTCTCTTGTTAGCAAACAAGCGCCATGCCACAGCGATTGTTCGGCCAGATGCCGCTCTGGCACCTGGAATCTTGTACGTAGCGGCGTACGGAGGAGCGCAGTCAAAGTCCACGTTTGCCCAAATGCACGACTTCGTATCGTGGCTGCATTTGCCCTCCCAGGGCATCTGCTGGAATCTAAGCGGGTTTATGACAATATGCCTTCGGAACGGTTTCCTGAGGGAGGCGTTGAATGCCGAAGAGGGATTCCATGTTCTGGATTGTCGCTCAGTGTCGCATACTACCGCAATGGGCTTGTTGCGAGGGCCAGGCGAGGTTTCAACACGATCCCCAAGCCAGAGGAATGCAATGCTTGCGGCCTACAACTGCAGTGACCAGCTCTATCACCACCGAGATCACGGAAATATCCCCAGATGATGTTTGCTTCGTGAGCAGCACTACTGCTGCATGTTGTACCCTGTAAAAGTAGGCAGACAGCCACCTGGCTGACATATCATGCTATCGTTCGGGTTCTTGCACAAACTGGACTTCAAATGGACCGAGTGGATTAGAAGACAGCGAATTTTCCTCCAAATTCACCGCCACCACCTCCGGTATTCGAACCAACAGTTGTGTTCAGCGTGATTCGTTTTCTTGCAGTGCGGGCAAGGGTCGTATTCTCTGGTCGTGCTGGAAGAACTCCCACTGGAACGCTACAGTTCTTCTTGCCTGGCCTTGCCATGGTGTTGTGGGAAGAAGTCTTAGTCTTCTCATCGTTTTTCGATGCGCAAGGCAGTGTTATGTAAAGCTGTCAGCTGCATCGGAGGAGGTGAGAAAGGAGGGGGGAAGAGGAGGAAGCGACTCGGGCCATTTTTCTCCATTTTTTATCTGTAGAAGGAGACTGATCTTTTGAGAGTTTCAGACCTGCTACCATAGGTGTTGAAGCGGGATAGGATTTATCCATGGAGAACCGTTGCAAGATGTCCTCCATGTATTTTCGTTGATGGAGAAACAGGGAGCCATTTGATTGGTAATCGACCTGAATCCCAAGACAATGGCGAGCTTTTACAAGGTCTTTCATCTCGAAATGGGAAAAAAAACCTTGCTTGATCTCTGCGAGGAAGGTCAAGCTGTTACAAACCAGTCAAGAGTCGTTGACGTAGACGGCGATGTCATCTCCCACTTATTTGTAATAAGGATTTGCTTAAAGTGCATGAGTAAAACGTTGTTGAGGCTTGTGTAACTTCCAGATGTAGCTCTCTTTGCCTGGAATTTTGTAATCCTCCGGCTGCTCCATGTAAATTTCCATTGTTTTTTTATATTCAACTATAGCAGCCTCTTCTTGATTCTTCTCCCCCGGAACTTCGGTGGCGGCTTCTTTGTCCTCGCTATCTGAATCGGAAGTAACAGTCTTCGTCTAGCTCTCCATTGAGGAAAGCTGTTTTTAAATCCATGCCAATTCTCTGCTGCAGCGAGCGCGAGCAATGTTCGAATTGTTGTCAGCAGCCACTTGAGAGTAGCCTTTTGCGACTAACGGCTTTGTACTGTGGTCTGGGTTAAACTTGATGCTTGGAATCCACCGATTTAACCACTTGCTAGAGTGGAACTTCAGGAAATTCCACGCAGCTATGTTGATGCTCTCAAGCCTCCTGACAGGGAAAAATGGAAAGCTGCTTTTGATGAGGAATATCATTAAAAACAAGACAAGCGCCTCCTGGACAAGCTAAAGTCTCCACAAGATCTCCACAAGCCTTACAGGATGTCTTGTACAGCTGCGAGCATGGTCTCAATCAAAGATACATATCCCAAGGGAAACAGAGTCAAACTTAAGCCATGGCGGTGTCTTGGTGGGAGCGCAGATGGATGAAGCCGAGGAATGTGAACATCTCCTTAGCACGCTCCCATCCTCCTTTGACACTAAGTCGCTCCAGCCCACCGTCAAATTTCTTGGAGAGAAGCCATGACAGGTTTACCCAACAAGCCGGCTTCCAATTTCCCAAGACCAGGGTTGGCCCAAATGACCTGCGGATCTTTGAGACTCTCCGGCGCGGACCGCTCCACCTTCAACTAGGTCTTCCAAGATTTGCTTGACAGCAGCAACATCATCGGCCTCGACATTGGTTAGTTAGGGTTCTTCCACAAACTGAAGTTCCTTGACAATCAGGACCTCAACATTGGCAAGCATTTAAACATATTTTTCGGTACTCATGAGATACGTTTTCCTATGGTATTCTGTATAAGTCTATGGAGTCAAGCTTGCAACTGGGCTCTCGACGATCACATACTGGCTATTGTTTTAGCCTTCACATTTCTGGAGCAGCAAGAAGCAGAGCGTTGTTGCCTGCTCCAGCTGTGAGGCAGTACATTGCGGCTAGTTCCGCATGCAAAGAGGCCATCTGGCATCGCCGCCTCCTAAACGACATTCCTTTCCTGGCCCAACGCCAATCTACTGCGACAATCAAGGCTACATCACCTTGAGCAAACATCGAGATTAATTCCCAGACGAAACACATGGACACAACACATCACTTTTTACAGGACTAGTTTGAAGATCGGGTAATCTAGCTTAGCTACTGCCCCACACAAGACATGCTCGCAGATGCGCTTACAAAACCATTGTCCACGCCGAAATTCTCCCGCAGCGATGGGTGTCTGCCACGGTGGACATGTCACGCTGGGTTTTTCCATGTTCTTGTGATATAATTCAAGCATCTGGAAGACACCCAAGGTGTCATCCAGGGAATGTGCCTAGGCTGTGGATTGATTTTGTTTGCTTGGCGCTTGCAACTGGGACTTGGGTGGCAGTGAATGTTCTTGGCAGTCTACATGTCTTGAGGAAATTCTTCCATGTAGGAGGACTCTGTTGGCAAGCCCAAAGAATCCCATAGCAACCAGCAGTTCATATGCAAATATAGTGGTTTTAATGACCTTTAAAATGTCTTTTCTACCTCTTATAAAAATATTTTAAGCTCCTAGATCTAATTCTGACAAATTAACAATTTCTAATCAGAAAAAAAATTCTTCCATTTCATCATCTTATTATTTGTCTATAGATTTTATAAATAGTTGTTAGAGTATTTAGTGATATTTCAAAATATCACCAAATATTTAGTTGATATCAAATAGTTGTTACAAAATCTTTAAAGAAAGATATTTAGTATATTCAAATTGTGGAAAGAGAATATAAGAAATGTACATATTACTTAGCCCAAAAACCCTAATTTAATCCGAATTGAAACCAATCTAATGGCAACTAAAATCCCACTATGCTAATATTAATATATGACATTGTAGCTGTACATTTGAACTTCACATCATCCCCTCCTCTCAGAATGATGGGATACTGTTAAAGTTCTCTTATGGATGGGCTAGGAACATTAGGAAGAGGTATCGGGGGATTTGTAGGTGGTGCTAATTGTTCATGATCTCTTTGTATAAAGCATTTTAGCCATTGCATATGCACAATTTTTGGAGGATTGGCATGTTAGATGTTATGTTGAACTTTATAAACTTATAGTCCAACTTGCTACAACATCTAATATAAACCTTTTGACTGAGCAAGGCACTCCTTAAATAAACTACATACCATAAAATGGGGAAAATGAATTAATACTAAGGCATCCACTTTATACTCTATAAGTGAATGATGATAGGAGTTATAGTGTTGTTGTCCCATTATATGCGGCTCAGATGTTCAGTAAACTCTATTTGGATAAGTGGAGGAATGCTCATTAAATACTGATCCCACAACCTAGTATCAGCAGCCCATGGCAATTGTGATGGTAAACCCAACTCCGTTGGCAGTATTGGATCATAACCATATACGAGTTTATATGGCGAAACACCAATAGAATTCTACACCTTTGTGACATATGCATACCGAAGAGACAACAAATAACCATCCCAATCCGAATGCTAAAAATTCATGTATTTCGTGATAATCTATTTGAAGGTCCAAACAAGCCATTCCACCAAATTGTCTGACTGTGGATGATAAACATTCGTGAAAATGTGGTATATCCCTAATTGAGATATTAAAATATAAAATGCCTCAACTATAAATATGGGACCATTATTCGAAAAAATCCACTCTTGACAGGAATGCTAAAATACCATTCGATTGAAGAAAAAGCATCTAACAATAATTGCAGATGCGTTAGCAAGAGCACCAACTTTCACCCAGCAAGTCAAGTAGTTAGAAGCAATAATGACATACTTATTGCTAACAATCAATTGTGGGAAAGGTCTCATCAAATTAAATGCCACCAACTCAAATAGATAAGAAATTGCAATTGACTTCAACCGTCCTTCTGCAACTCAAGCCTTCGAATCCACTGATTAATCTTTTAAGTTTTATAAACCTTGTCAAGAGAAGGTAATCTTACTCTGCACCTTATGGATATTAAACATCAAGTATAGCAACAACCGACGGCACAAAATCCTTATCCAAAAAATCCACAGATACTAGAATAATAGGTTTGTCAAAAATATGAGAAGAGAGCAAAGAAATAAGAGGAGCTCAAGAAAGGGCATCAGCATCAATCATAAAACTCCTTAGGAAATGAAAATATCAAACTCATATATATAATGTTTCAAAGCCTACCGAATAATATAACTAGTAACATCAACTTCCATTGGAACAAGACCATCTCTTATAAGAATTGGAGTTAAAGAACGTGCAACAAGAAGTGAAAGAAACAATGTCTCATAACGTTGTGCTAAGCAAAAGGCATCGTTAAGGGTGGCTAAAGCAACTGTATGCACAACTCTTATTAGATCTTGATTACGTGCTAACTGCAACATTCTTAGCTTGATATGCTTTGACATATTTGGCTTTGCACAAAGTAAGAGGCTTTGAAAACAAATATTAAATTGCATTGCCGACTCGAATGGTCTTTGACAAAAATGATGCAATTGTTAGAGGCATCATCAAAATCGTTAGCATATCCAAATGTGCATTTGAAGATGTTTGAAAGAATACTCCAATCCTCACGAGTGGCTACGCTCAAACTATTATACTA